CATTACATTGTACAAGCCTACGGTCATTGAGGGTCCATTCAATATCGGGTGTTCGAACATTTTCACCTTCTACTATCTTAGTTGGAACATGGTCTCCTTTTTCTATGGCTTTCCAAACATCTACATCTATGCCTCTTAAGAATGCTCTCATTTTGATTTTCCAATAGTTGTAGTCACTTCCATCAAACCAAGGGGGTCTATTGTTAGATTGACCTTCTTGATGGAAATTTATATTGGCCATGATCGTTCTCTAAGATGATTAGTCTTTTTCTAGAGATTAGGCTCTGATACCAATTGTTAGTCACTAATTGACTCTAGAGGGGGGGTGAATAGAGTCAAGGATCAATTTTTTCAATTTAAAAATTATATTTCTACCAAACTGTTAAATATCAGTTTATTGAAATATTCAAGCAAAATAAAGCACAAAAATAAGAGAGATAGAGATAAGAGATTGCAAACAAAGACTCGGTGATTTAGCGAGGTTCGGAAACTCCTACTCCTCGGCTCAAGATCCCCCTTGAGACTTCCCAAATTCACTAGAGCTTCTCCTTAATGGTGGAGAGCAAACCTTCGCTTTTGAAACAAGATCTTGCTTCTCTTCTTTGCTAGGAGAACACCCTTCTCCTAGGCTTTCTTTTGGGTTACACCAACCCTTTACAATAGCTTTGAAGTTTGAAGAAACAAGTGTACAAGAATCTCTCAAAGATAGATTACAGAGTTTAGCTCACAACTATAGAAAAGATGAATATACGTGAAGCTCAGAATTACTACAGTGATATGAAATAACAGAGAAGGAATGAAAGCTCAGAATACTTCTTTAATGCTTTTCAAGGAATGATAGAATGTTCTCTATGAAAAAGATATTTTAGTTTGAAGACCAACCTCAGTATTTATAAAAACAACAGAGTTCAATATAGCTGTTAGAGGTTGTTGAGAACATTTAATGAAAATGTTTACGTTATAGTTCAAAACCCTAAAGAGAGCCGTCTCTTGAAAACCAAAGAGCCTGCTCTTTGTTCATTTTCCTTGGAAAGAGCCTGCTCAATAAAAACGTGAGCCTGCTCTTTATTTTGAAGATCCATTTTCGTAGCCTTCTTGGAACAAAAAGAGCCCTCTCTTTCTTTTGATTGAGCCCTCTCTTTTTCTTAAATACTTCTCAAAGACTTACTGGAGTTAAAGAAAAGAACCTTCTCAGAGCTCACTGAATAAGAGAAAAGAGCCTTCTCTTTATTTTATGGAGCCTTCTCCATCTCACATTATGATACTTAATATGAAATTCTTTAAGTCCTGTGAATGTGATCATGAGCTGATTTTATTTTCTTTGAGAAATAAAATGGGAATGCAATGCATGGATTGAATTTTGAGCTTCAAATATATTCAAATTAACTTTGACATTAAATCTTAAGCTCTCACCATCTAATCTACCCTTTTCTTCAATCTTTGACCATGATCGGTTAGCCTTTGATGGAGTACTTGAATAATCTTTGAATTCTTGCTTGAATAATCTTTGAATTCTTGCAACTTCAATGCTTCCTTGAATCCATTGCTTGAGTACTTGGAATGCTTCTGGCTCATTATTGAGGATTGAATTAATTGATCAACTATATAGCACTCAAGGAAAATATTAGTACATAAACATCATTAATGGTTTGTAATCATCAAAATATAAGATTGACCTTTAGATTAAATCCTTAGGCCATCACTGGCCACTAACAATATTGCAGTTAAACATTTTTGCTTCGGTACCAAGCAATAGGGGATAACCAAATAATTTTTTAATCAGCGGGAGAAGCCAGTGTAATTATGCTATGCTTCAGGAAAGGTGGGGGTAATTACCAATAGCAAAATAAATAAAAATATACAAAAAATAATAATAATAATAATAATAACATTAGGTAAAATACAAATTCAGCACAATAATATACGAAAAGAGCAAATAATTATCATAAATACTGCATATACATGTAAAATAATTGTAATTATTAATATAATTTATTTATCTAATGTATATCAATTATCAAAGTAATTTCAATTGTATATTAAAATCAATTCAACGAAAGATTTTATAAAATAAAAAAATTTGAATTCATAAATTTTTACCTGCAAGACCATCATCATTTGGATCAAACCAGTAAGACCATGGTCTGGATCAAACCCTAACCCCCTCAAGACCCTTATCTGAATCCAGTCCTCTAAACAATCCTCGCAAGACCTAAAGAGAACCCTCAAGAAAAAATGGTGGACCTGAGAAAACCCTAACTGCGAGTGGAAACCTAACTTATAGGCTGGGTAAATAGATTGGAGGTGACGTCCGATTCCAATCGTAGACGGTTATCTGACCTCCGTGCGCCCCCAAACAAATCCGTCTTCTTCGCCGACAGTTAACGTGGAGACGATTCCATCGGAGGCGGTCTTGGTGGCGACGAACGAGGCGTCGATGCCGATGAGAGGACTCGGCAACATCACCTTGTGTTTCGTTTGGATGGAGGGATTTAGAGGAATTTGGAAAGAAAAGAAAGGGGATGAGTGTGTTTGAACGAGAGGAGTAGGAAGGAAAAGAAGAGTTTTGGAGAGATTTGAACGAATAATAATTCTCTAAATCTCTCGTTTGGAATGCTCCAAAATTGATAAGATTTGGAGAATTTGGAGGGAAATTGAACAAATTACGAAAGTAATCTTGAGAGAAGGGGCAAGCTTGATTGAGAAAAGGGTAAAACCATAAACTATTTTTTTTTCTATCAATTCAAACAAAAATATTACTTTTTTTTTTTTTCATCTAAACATGAATATTATTATATCTATTTTTTTCTTTTTTTTCCTATCCTATTCTCTTATAATTCTTTTCTTTTTTTCTCTTTCTTTTCTCTCCTGGTATCCAAACGAAGCCAAAGGATTTGAGATCCGGTCGATGAATACCAAGTAAAGTTCTGCGTCGTCGAGGAAAGGTTCTTATATTCTACGTGTGTATATATATATAGGTTGGACACCTGACAAAGCTTACTCCTCACGCATCATATTTTCTTTTCAAATTTTGTTCTCCTAAAATTAAAATGTTTTCGCATTTGTCAAAATACTTACCCCCGGACAAATGGTACGAATCATCGAAAGTAGAATAAAACTGACTTATTCTTCAAAAAAAAAAAAAAAAATGACTTATTTCAAAATAAATAAATAAATAAAAACTAAACTGACTGAGGTAAAAGGTTATAAATTTATTTACTTGTTAAGTGATAATTAGTCTTGGATTATACAAAATCATCTCCAGCAATATGTTAAAATAATTTTTTTTTTTTGTTAAATATACATTGTTACATGATGTGTAAATTTTTTTTTCTCTCTAACATTTTTTCTCATTCCATTAATGAATTCTTTAATGGAATGAAAAATAGAAAGGAGAGATGATATATGACGATAAGGCTATGTAAAAAGGTTGTGTGAAATACATAACAATTTTACATACTAGTGACGTAGCAGTGTATTTTAACAGACTGCTGAAGATAAAAAAAAAAAAAAAAATTACACATTATACGTGGCAATGTATATTTTACACAAAAGAGTATTTTAACATACTACTATAAATACTCTAAAATTTCGCATTTGGAAGATGTATGAATGCCTAAACATTATTGAGTATACCGGAGTAGGGATAATATATTACCTAAATCAATTATAAACAATCTGGCTAGGGGATTTGCAGTAGTCTCTTCCAAATTTTGCTCTCTAAATTAATCACATTTTTCTAGAGTCACGTCAGTTTTTTTTTTTCAGAGCCACATAAGTAGTTTCTACTTTCTAAATTTTAACCCTACAGATTTTCTCTCTCTAAAAATAATAATTTTTTAACAATAAATATATATATATATTTTTACCAGTGTTATATTTATAACGGTTATATTTTTCATCTTATATAATAACTCATTTGCTCATCATCTGAAAATCATCACTATATATATATATATATATATATATATTACCTTTTAAAAATATATATATAGCCTTTAAGCACTGTTTGTGTTAGTCAAACAGTGTTTTAATGGCTGCATTGAAAGGTTTAAATCAATGAAAAAAAATTTTATTTTTTAGGTTAAATTTTTTTTTTTTGAAACTAGTAACTAAAATTTTGATATTTTTAATATATCAATTGCTTTAATATTACAGTATTTGATATTTTTCGTGATTTATTGTTTTCCCAAAAATGAGATTGTTCAATTTTCTTTTTGGAGTAAATAATTAGAATTTAATCCTATTTCATATCAGTGTTGATGGTAGTCCGTTATGATGTGAGGAGATCATTCCATGTCTGTCGGGGATGTTGAGATCAGAGGTTAAGTGGAGCTCCAAGTTAGCACAAGGGACTCTCCGTAAAGGAGATTGAGAGAGAAAAGGCAGATTTGTTTAACACCCCATGATAGCTTAAGCCCTAGATGACCATTCTCAATGGTTATGATCGTGCATGTGTATACTTTTCAACCCTCCTAAATAGTGAGAGTTAAGCCTTATTTATACTATTTTTATTTGGGTAAGGACCCTTGGTAATGAGAGCTAACTCCCTCTTTATCCAATGGTTGTTTTACCTGAGCAAGGACCCTTGGTTATGATGGTAACTCCTTTATCCAATAGTAATTTTGTAAGATATATATTTAGTATATTATGTGGTCTCTATTACTCGAGCTCAGCTATTGGGTATTAAACATTTTCTCCCTCTTGTGTAGACTTCGAAGTGAGGCGATTCCTTAGAACTCAGCCACCTAATCACTGATACTCAGATTCCCGCAACTGAAGATAAGGAAAGAGCCTTCCTCGGCGTTTCGCCTTCTCGGCCCTGCGGGCTCGTCCTTACAGTTAAAGGGAGCTCGAGAGAAAAATGCCCGAGGTAACGCCTGCAGGAAGCAACCTAGGAAAAGAGGGGAGGAGGGCCCATCCAACTGGAGCGGGGCGTGTCCACAAAAGAAGAAGGGTAGCGACCCCTTTCTCGGCCAGTGAGTTCAATTATAGGACGAGTAGCTCGAGAATACTTGGTTCTTTCAGGGGCATGCCGGATAAATATTGGCCAATTGTGCTTATTTTCAGAGATTGTGCCACTAAAGCAAACGTCGTGGCACGTATATCAACAATCAGCAAGCACAAGAACCCTGCATGCTATTTTTATCCCTAACAGACTAACAGTGTAGGCTTCATTTTTTTTTTTTTTTTTTTTTCAAACATAGTGTAGACTCATTCAAGCACTGCATTTGGTAAGTCTTCTGCTCATCATGAATATTTCTCGTTATATTATTGATACAAGTATGGGGTATGTAACTAAATCACTAATTGTCTGAGACTCACAGGCCAGACACCTCTCTTTCACATATTTCGGTATTTGTTATGGATAAATAAACCCTTCATATTATTGGGTTTTGAAGTTTATAATAATTCAAATTACATTTTGTAGCTGAACTGGTCAATGAGAAGGAGTTGGTGCAGCAGCAGGAGGAGATGTAAATAGGCTGGAAAAGAGTCGGTCTGCAAGCACTGCATTGGCAGCATCCGAAGGATGGAAAGCGTCCCAGAACACATACTCACTGCGATTGCTGCACATCTTCGAATTAGGTAAGCATAGCCCTCCAATGTTTGTGTCCACATTACAACATGATGTGTTGGAGACTTTAAAACCTGAATCACACAAAGTCAAGTCCCATAAATATTTTGAATTTTTGACAATGAAAAGCTCTTGTGAACCCATATATGCTTAATAAGGAGCTAAAACTTTTGTGTTTCTATAAATGAAGCTCACCAAATTGAGGAAATAAGTATGTTTTGTTGTAGACAAGAAAATGCAGTACTTTACCATAGGCTTTAGGGTTGGTGATCAAATCTAGGACTGCTGGATAGGTATCTGCAAATGCCATTTGTGCCGTTGGGAGGCGTTGATTTAGAGAGTTTATTAGCTTTTGCACTTTGGAATTGAACTGAATCACCCACTTATTGACTTGCTTTAAGCATTGCCCTTTTCTTGATTTCACCCTTTGTGAAGGAATGCAGCCTAGGGGACCAAGTCCATGAAAGACCATCTTTCTTGCACCTAATTGATAGAGCCTCTGCCAAAATCACACACAAACACACAATTCAAACACATGAAAATAGTCATTCTTCTTTATCATAGTTGCTTCAAAATCCAAACGTAAAAAGGAAATGATAGATTTCAATGGGTGGAATGGAGGATGATTCTTCACCGTAAGTTGTTGGTCTAAGGTTGACATTAAGAGTTCGATGAACTCGTCGTGTGTGTACTGCTGACCGTCAGCTAAGAAGGGTTGCAAGAAATTATTGACATAGTCATTGCTACCTGAAAACATATTAGAATACAGAGTGTTATATATGTATAAATATAATACAGAGTGTTAAGATTAGGAGAGTACCAATTCCAATGAAGTACACGGCTTCATTGCAAAATTTGTTTGCAGCCTCCCCTCCAAGTTTAGTCTTGATTGTTTCCTTTGTCTTGTTGAAATTATTTATTTGATCATCGAAGGATAATCTTTGAATCTAAAATACAGATGGTAACACAAAAAAAAAAAAAAATTATAAAGCATGAAAAAAAAAAAAAAAAACATGTACATCATATCCATTGATTCAAAAATAGAAAAAGAAAAAAAGATGAAGAAGGGTGGTGCATTACGAAATAAAGTCCTGTGTCATTAAGAATTCCTGCTCCACCAGATGCATAATTAACCCCTTTAAGGATTGCGTTGTCATTTGATGACAAAGAGAGATAAGGTGGCGGTGATGGAATTCCAAGCTTTTCAGCTGCAATTTGATAACAAAAAAATAAAATAAAATAAAATAATAAAAGGAGGGATAAAAACACTAAAAATTGCATAGTAGTAAAGAGTATTGTCTAAATCACAGTAAATATATATTAACCAAGAGATTAGCTTAAACTATGCAAGAGAAATAAATTGTTTGGGATGATCACGTTACATATTATATCGCCGATAGTCCTCCCATTTGTGAATCGTCCTGTAGGTTGGCCACCAGTATAATCAATACCGTAGTAAGGAAAATTTGATTTTGCAAGGGAGAGTTGCAGGAAATTGTTGTTTCCGACCTCTGTCAACGAGTCACCGAACACAAATGTTACTAGTGATGCAGAGGAGGAAGGCACAGTTGCCATGGCTGTGGCAATCAAAACTGCCAATGCTAGGCTTAGCATTTCCATCTTTTTTGTTGCTTCTTGTTGTCTGAAGGAATGACCATAGGGACATAAGAATTTATACTATCTTTCTGTAACTATGCATTGCATTTTAGTCATGCCCAGTTCTTCAAGTTTTCACAAATTGGGTGAGTCATTGAAGATCCTAGTGTTGTGAAAAAGGGCACTTTTGTGGGAAGTTCAATTTTGTAAGTTTTGAGGGTGGGTAATCTCTTTTTTAATGGTTGGCCAACTGATCTCATAAGAGTCAGCATAGTTAGTGTTGTTAGGTTTTTGGCCTTGGTTTGCAAATCACCTAGTCATATTAACATCATGGGCATAGTTAGTGTGCACTTTAGACTGTTTAGTAGGTGCGTATAAATCCCTAACATTTAAAAATATTTATAAATTAATCTCTTCAATTGCCAATTTTGACCTTTTTTTATATATATAAAAATCACAAAATACCCTTAATAATCAATGTTTTAATTTTATTTTGTCTTGAAGAGCATTTTAGGTATTTCTTTAATTTAAAAAATATAGAATTTTTTTGAACAATATGATGGTATTTGCACCCTCTCTTTTTTTCCTCCCATTTTACCCTTACTAAAATAAAAATCATAATCTCCTTTCAAGTTTGGTCGTATACAAATTCTGGTCTATTTTCTGTTTTAACTCCAAAGAGTTAACTAAGTGAATAAAAAATTGGCTCTGATACATAGTAAAATATTAAGTCTGAAATTCCAACCTTCTTAAAATGAGTTTTAGCTTTACAATACAAGGACTCGCAAAACATTAAGAAGATGGTGTTTAGCATTGGTAGTGTGACCCTTCAAAATATCACCTAACATTGGTAGTGTTGATTGGAATATAGAAAACCAAAAAAGAGTCGGACACTACGGTGCTTTGTGTATTGATAGATAAATGAAAGAGAGACAATTCTTATGACAGATCACTTTGTTCCTTTTTATTGTTTATTTGTCATTCTTGTTTTATACAGCCCTTGTGTTACTACTATTGTCATTGTCCTTTTTTTCTTTATATTACATCTGTTTTCTTTTTCCTTTTTTTTTTAAGATTATATTACATCTGTTGTTTGTGACTGCAGTACACATGCCATGTTGGATTATTTGTATGTAGAGGAGGATGGTGACATAAGTGAGAACCATACAAAAATTGAAGTGCATACGCATTACAGCATTAGTTGACCATATTTCATGCAAAGAGGGTTATAATCAATACGGGTATGTGACAAAAGTTTTTTTTATTGAATATTATTCCCAACTGAAATAATAGAATCAAAACAACAATAAAATCGTAAAATGCTAGTAACAAAAAAATAAAAAAATTAAATAAATAATTGTCATATTTTACTTTATAAAGTATTATACAATGAGTTGTAACACATTAAATAAAGTGTTGAGAATCTTATGACATCTAAAAGATTTGCTTTAGCATATAGAAAATTGACAAAGTTAAGCCTTGGCATATCATAATTGATAGAATTAGAGAAATAATTAGGCAGGCAAAGTGACACAAATATATTTTTATAACTGAAAGGGGAATTGTGTTATTTGATAAAAAATAATTATTTATTTATAAAATTAGGAATAAAAGTGTCATTTCCTTTAAGAATATGATGCAATTGTAAAAAAATATGGAATGTGAATATCATCTCCCTTAATTAAAATATAAAAAAATCTGTAAGCTCTTCAAATTTCGATTGCCATTCCAAACATTTGAAATGCTCGGTAGGGTATTAGGGTTTAAGTAAAATTTTAATTAATATATAGTTTTGATACGGAATATTTGATTAGATAAGGAACAACTCAAATTCAAATGAGAAATAAGATAAGGGTCCCCAAAATCTCTGGTTACCATATGTAACGACATAAGAAAGAAACAATATCATTTTGGATCGGGAGAATCTCGCTTCAACAACTACTACCATTATGCTTCTATAAAAGAAGTGATCGGTCAACCTAAAAAGGTACGCCATAAATTTCATATGTAATGCTTATCGGATATTAACTTGACCGTCGGAGTCCACCCTGCCGGTCATCACTTCTCTTGTCTTGCAGGAATTGCCAGGTTCCGGAGCGTACAGATTCTTGCATCAACAGTTACAGATTCTTGCATCAACAGTTGGTGCCGTCTGTGGGAACAGATAAGTTATGACTCCAACTGCCATCATTAGCGGTCTCGTGATTTTAAAATTAAAGGCTTCCTTTTGCTTCTACTTAGTTGCTTCTTATTATTAGTTAGTCAATTAAATTATATATTCATCACAATATATATATATATATATATATTTGATGCTGAACTAAGTTAATCTCTCCAACTAGATAATTCTATTCTAGGCCTCTAGCTATTGTTCAAGTGAAAAATGCAGCTATTGGAGAACCATGGAAGCGACAACCTGGTTTCAATAGAAAGACCAATCTACTTCCATATAATTAAAAAGATAATAACATATATGCCAATATAGCTTCACAAAAGCACCACAATAGCAAGCAATTTTCAATCCCACTAAAAAAACCCATTATTTGTCCTATTGAATTAGAATATAGAACTGAAAAAAGATGCCATTTAGTATACGGTTTACCTCCTACAAAGGATCCTTCATCCAAAATTTCATTTGTCAACCATATTGGCTCTGGCTCACACTTCAATGATGGCGATATGAGGCTCTCCACAAAGATTTGTAGGTTAAGAAGAAGTATAAGCCCATGCCGGATGTCATGAAATCTAAGATCCCTGTGTGTTCTCTCTCTTGTGTTGTATAAAACTAACTTCTCAGAGTTTTTCAGTATCAGAACTTCATCATTTTTCAACAAAGACAACAGATCGATATCATGATAAAACGGAATGTTAATCCCAAATTTAGTCCATGACTGCTTCATTATCCAAAATTCATTACTCGGGCATTTTCTAATACAAAGGCATCCTTCAATCAGCTCAAGGATGCTATAGGTGGGAGGAGCAGGACTAGGAACCTCTCGGAATTTCTCCTCTACCAAATCAAAAGCAGCAACCATAAACGGCTGCTTTCGATCTTTATTTAGACAAACCCAATGAATAGCTCCATTTAATAGTGTCCCCAAACTCGAAAGAGGTTTACTAAAGCCACCACTGTAAGGAAAACCCTGAACCACTTTCCAAGAATCACTTCTTAATGAATACACATGGACATTATTGCTGTCTACCCTCACCAGCTTGAAATCATAAGTGGTATGGTCATACCCAAATCCATATGTAAAAATAAGTTCCCCTAGATTGGGAGTTTGTTACTAATGGTGGTATTTCCTTGGTGAAACGAAGTTGGCGATGTCAATTTGAATTGCACTTGCCCTCCTTCATTTTAGTTCCTTTTCCATTTCGGCTATGCTTTCATTGGAATACCTTTTAACCTACTAGACTAGTGTTACAAGTGAGATTTGTCTCTTATAGGGTTTGGATGGGATTGGAGTGTGTATAAATGAATGGGTATACAACACTATCTAACAGTTTAAATTTTTTACTAAATAGACAAGCGTTCACCCCAGAGTCAGACCTAATCCTTAATTCGATGTTACGCCAAACGCTCAACTCAGAGCGTCAGGGTCTAATTCCAGGTAGGCAGGGTGGCCCGACCACAACGAGGGCGTTGCGCGGGTTTGGGTGGGGGACATCGAATTTGGATGGGAGTTGAAGTGTGTATAATGGGTGGATATACAACACTAACTAACTGCTTAAATTTTTGGATAAATAGACAAGTGTCAACCCGTTACAACTAGAAAATGCTACAAAATTTTCATAATTTAGAAAGCCATCTATTTTGAAGATGGAATATTGTTAAAATATATATATTCAGGGTAAATTATATTCATCTTCTTTAATGTTTGGGCAAATTTACCCACCTCTTTTAAAGTTTGGACAAATTATACACGGTATGTTAACGTAAATTATACTCATCTCTCTTGAAGTTTGAACAAATTACACATAGATAAATTCTTTAGTATTTATTACTTTCACCTTCCTAAACTTGTTCATCCGAAAAAGAAACTGAGTATTAAAAGTTAGTAATACTCTTATACTATAATAATGTATTATATCATAATGTTTTATGCAGTATAAGAAAAAAAATACAATTTCTATTGTGCTACAAAGATTAATGATAACCAAATTTTAGGAGAGGTAAAAGTAGTAGTACAATGTATAATTTGTCTAAACTTTAGTAAAAATAAATAAATAAATAAAAAGAAAAAAAAGAAAGAAAAAAGGGCGCAAATCCACTCCATAGCATCTTTCACTGGAGGGTGTCTATGACAGATCCAATGGCTAGGATGAAGCTAAGTCAGCTAAAGTTGCCTTGTCATTGCCTTGTCACTGCCTACTAAGCGCCAACTCAGCACTGAAGTATGAAAGTTACTTTATTTTACCATGTGTGAATATTGTATACAAAATTGATACCAGCTACGTACTGTCTACGAATACTATATACAAAATTGAAATACAAAATTAACTTATACGTGGGACCCACATATGATTTTTTACTTTTCATCTTCTCTTCTCCCTTCTTTGGTTCGTCTCCTCCATTTTCTTTGGTTCAGAGGCTTCGTCGTTCGGTATCGTATTTTATTTCTTTTTTACTTTATCTTCTCTTCTTTTCCCTTCATCTTCTCCCTTCTCTCTGGTTCGTCTTCTCCCTTTTCTTTGGTTCAGAGGTCGTATCGTATTTTACTTTTGGCGTCTTCCCTTTGCTTTGTTTAATACCAGTTCATGGATTAAAATTGAGCACGATAATGAGTCCTCTCCTACGATGCGGTGGCGTGTGAGTTTTGCGGCGCCAAGGCTAAAACCAATATCAATCTCAACCTTCCTCCTCTCCTAGATTTCACTGCTGGAAACATCGTCGGTGCCAGAAACTCCGATCTTGCATCATCCATGTTTCCAATTTTGCAACTCCATTCATCTTCTTTCTTTCTTTCTTTTTCAAATAAAAAAAAGAATGAAATAGATAAGAATGAAAATCTAGAGAGAGAACAATATTTATAAAAATATATATTTATGTAAATAGATAAATAATTTCTCATTGCAATTGAGAAATAAATGATTTTAGATATTGGTTCATATTCGTCACCGTTGTTGATTTCTGTTAACATAATTAGGTTTTTTTATTTTTATTTTTTTTCTCTTGTATCTATAAATATATTGATACATATAATCATATATATTACGTTTCTAATGGTAATAAATTTGATTTAAGGGATTGCTTAAATTAAAATATGAGAACTTATTTGTAACAAATATGATAACTTGTTTCATTAAAGTGAAAACCAAACAAAATTAAATTTCATATAGTGTAGAAACATATTTTTAACATACATTGTAACTTATTTTATTCAAGTACAACCAAACACGTGTTTCATCATAACAATTTTATAATTACCATCACAATTAAATTTCATAAAATGTAGGAACACATTCTTAATATAAATCACAAATTATTTCATTATTATGAGATTCGTAAAATAAACTGAAGTCAAGGGAAAATCAGCACATGTTTCTAACATGTTTGATTTTTCATTTAATGATTATTCCGTTTAACTTGATACATCATATAAAATTAACAAATGATACATGTTACAACTTAATTGTGAGGTTACAAATAATTTGAGTTTGAAACATGTTACTACGTTTGATTCATGTTACATATTAATAAAATCACATAAAATCAACATATGATATGTACTATGATTATGTTAGGATGCCAGTTATAAGTTATGTTTGAAACATGTTATGTTTAAACATTTTTTAAAAAATGAAACATATTTCTAACATAAATTATAACTTTTTTTAATTTAGTGTATTATATGAGAGTCATAAAATGAATCGAAGTCCAGGGAAACCAAATACGTGTTTCGAATAACATCGTAACGATTTCATAATTATTATCACAACTAAATTTCATGCAGTGTAGGAACACATTTTTAATAAATATCACAATTTATTTCATTCAAGGGGAAACCAAACATGTGTTTAATCATAACGATTTTATAATTACAATCATAATTAAATTTCATATAATGTAGGAACACATTCTTAATATAAATCATAAATTATTTCATTATTTTATATATATATGAGATTCGTAAAATAAACCGAAATCAAGGGGAAATCAAGCACATGTTTCTACTATGTTTGATTTTTCATTTAATGATTATTTCGTTTAACTTTATACATCATATAAAATTAACAAGTGATACATGTTACAACTTAATTGTGAGGATGCAGATAATTTGAGTTTGAAACATATTACTACTAACATGTGATATGTATTGTGATTATGTTAGGATGCCACATATAATTCATGTTTGAAACATGTTACATTTAAATTATAATATCATTTTAAAAATATGTTTGATTGTTGTTACTTTTGATTCATGTTACATACTTGAACCATAATGTATCTTCGTTTAATGATCAGTGTTGAATAAACATTTAGGGTTCTACCATTTGGTGATTGGTGATTTGAGAAGCCCACCTCATAATGAAATATTGTTTGGTGATTATTCCTTTCAATTATTATATAAATCATTTTCAAAGTTCATCTCAAGGTGACGACACTCAATACATTGCAACGCAAAAGCCACAAAACTGGCATTATATACCCTCCACCTAAGCATCTTGCACTTCAAGACAATAACTATCTCTCTTCTGAAATCGGATTTGACAATTGTGTGTGGTGTAAATTCATTGCAAGATTGTTATTTTTTTCTCCGGAAAGACTGTTATTTCTCTTTACTAATAATTAATTTCTCTCTGCTAATAATTCACCTAAACAAAGAACTTGGCAAAAAAGAACTCATAACACAAGACCATTATAACTTTAAAAGTTCTTTACCGAGGGGGGACTGGGAAAGAAGAATAGAAATACACTTTAACTTCTTGATTTTAAACATAATCAAACCAAATCTAATATATTATATATTTCATTTGAAATAATAACAACTCAAGGGAAATGCTATTAAAAACTTACACAAACATACAATGCATTGGCTTACAACATTGTAATGATTTAACACTAATAAAAAGGCAATATTTATACAATGCAAACTGCATATTGATTCTGAATACTAAAACCTATAGTGAAAAGGAAATATTATGTGGGAGAAAAAAAAAAAAAGAAAAAAAAAAAGAAGGAAGAACTTATATAGCACGATCGTTATAAGGATGTATAATTTCTTCACTCATCAGGTCCATAATGAAGCTTAATATCCGAAACCCTCTGAAGTGGTTGCCTGCAAAATTGGTTAGCCTTTGGAACCTCAAAACCTTTGTACACATATAAAAGAACCAAATCTATATGTCAAGAATAGGCTATATAATTTTTTTTAAAATAATCTATTTAATGAAGGAAACGTGTAAAAAGGAGTATATATATTATTTGTCAAACAAAGTCAAATTTTTTTTTACCTAAAATAAAGATAGTTGATCCAAAAGATATTAGATAAATCATACATTTTAACTCCTAGAGTGAAATGGAAAAGTAGGATTCATATGATTGACCCCAAGTAATTAGAAAAATGCTTTGTTTGTTGTTGTTGATGATATATATTTAAACGCCTACAACAAACTCATTCTCATCGGACTCGTGGCAGAACAAAAACTATAAACCAAGCAATTATTATATTGCAATACATAGAAACAATGAATAAAAATAAAATAAAAATAAAAATAAATAAAAATAAAAACCAAACGAAATTTAAAAAGAAACTAGATATAAATGAAAAGACATAAATTTAGTACGAGGGGAAAAGGAAACCAAGATGGATAGGGAACTAGTTTCAACATATCAAGAGGCTTCAGAAACATATTTGTATGCAACTCTTGAAAGTAAGTATAATGAAATGAGCTTTATCAATGTACTACTTAAGTATAGAAATCACTGTTGATGGCAAGTAGGCGTATTCAACTATTTTATTATATGATTTTATGCTCCCACTTGCCCTTTAAATTAAGTCAGCCATAAGCACTATCTAAATGAAGTAAGATAGATAGTGAGTCAAGTTCATAAACATGATTAGGTGTCATAGTAATTCAAGGTTGAAATATAAATGTAATTATGAGACTATATCTTCAAGTCCCCATAAGGGCAAGATTGTGTGTATCTCTTGCCGATATTAATAATAGATAAATAAATAAATAAAGATTTAGACAATATCTAGGTCACTTATAAACATATTCAAAACGTCAATAAGTAAATAGCTAAAGATAAAAGTATAAAAATATAAAAAATAATTAGAAAAGATAGTTCAATTATGTGCAACAAAAATCATTAGCAACAATATTTTGGTTGATTTATGTGTATAATAGGTGCACAAAGCTATAATGTTTAGGGAACCAGACTGAACAAATGCAACACGAAACTTTTATTAATTTCTAAAAATTTGAATCCAAGTTTAAATTGTTATGCAATTAACATAAAACTATACTTTTAAAATTAGAAAACACAATCTCAAAAGTTTGAAAGTTTTTCGAAAAATTTTCAACTCATAAATTGAATTCCTAAAAGTTTATTACTATCACCTTGAATCTCCACACAAAAACTATCTTACCACATGTTCTCGTAAAATATTTATGAAAGAAAAAAAAAATTAAAACCTAACAAAAATAATATTCATCAATTTTTGATAAACTATTTTACACCTAAACCTTTGCCAAATACCAAATAATTCAAATATTTTACCTGAAAAAAGAATGAAAATATTTTACATAGAGTGGCAAATTTGATTGATAAATTATTTCCCTTTCCTATCTCCACGAAACAATTATTCTGATTCCATATGCAGAAGGGTTTGTAATGAAAATGGCATATATGTGATTTTAAAGTTATAAACCATGAACAATAGGACGGAATTGTATAAGCAATATAATCAAAATTTAAAAATTATTAAATAGTCCGGGAATCAAAATGCCTAGAAATTGAAAGTTCATTCACTTTGAAAAAATATATGTATAATATTATTATTACTATTTTCACACATTGTCACTTATATTTAAAAAAAAAAAAAAATTAAAATTAAAGAAACTTTTCTCATCAAAATAAAAAAAACAATAACAAAGGAAAAGGAAATCAAATATAAAAATCTAAAAATACATATTGAATACTCCATATACAAACTTATCGAAAAAAACCCATCTAGGAGTTTGTAAAAAAAAACTAAGCCAAATCTACAACAATAATCATGAACACCAATATATATATGTATATATATATATATATATATATATATATATTTGTGTACTCTATAGTTGTATAATTCTAAGCCAAGTGTATAACAAAAATTATGAACATTAACAAAATAAAAAGGACCCAAATGTATTTATGTGTACATATATCTAAATCAGAGAAAAAATAGTAGAATAATCCGATCTGATGAAAAGATAGGAGTGTGAGAGAGATGTATATATACCAGCGATGTAAGGGGTTTTGTCGGTCTTGAATCCAGCGTAGCATGTGTCACAGTAGACTTTGACTCGGACCTGAAATGGTTTGCCTTGTCACTGCCTAATAAGCGCTGAGAGGACACATAGAGCCAATAACAAAATCAACTTATATGTGGGTCGTGCTTGATGGCACACTCCGTTCACACAAATCTTTGCCATTAATCCAAATTAAACCTAAAATTGCCAAAAAAAATAATAAAAATAATAAAAAAATCTCAAATCATAACCCTAAAAAACTCATTTAACGATCAGATATATAAAAGATCAAATCAATCTAAAAAAAATTATAAAAATAAAGAAGTATAAAAGAAGATGTTTGGTTGTGCAAATCTTCATATGTGGTACAAAACCTTAAATCAGATTTCATGATTAAAATGAGAGAGAGATGTGTTTTGTTTGAAAGAGCAATTTGGGAGAGAGATTTTGGGGGAGTTTCAAATTTTATCTGAAAATTTAAAAGAGTATTCATTACACACTTTCAAATTTTACATGTGAGACCCGACACAAATAATATAATATATATTATGTCGAAGAAGTTGGTAAATATGGTGAGAGGTAAGCTGGTGACGATTTGTTTCCCTTTGCTGGAATGTTCAAACGCGTTTTTTTCTATTTTTATTTAGATGGAATCAGGTTTTCGTCCCAGAACAAGTTTGCCTGTAAATATGGAATAAATCAAAATGCAAAAAAATAGACTTAATGCTTAAGACAAGAACCAGAATCAGCACAATATATACATTACAAATTCATTTACATCGCCGCTTTTACTGGTTCTTTATGTATCCAAGTCACAGAACCACGTGAACTTTCCAGCATATCCACTCCACTTTCTCTCTCTAACACACACACCCCCCGCCCTCTCTCTCTAAAATACCACTCTGGAATTTTCACCACCTCGAACAAATCAGTGCCAGTCGTCTTTCGATCATAAAACATGACAACGATTTTCTTCTGTCTCTAGTACCTGTTTTCTCTCTCTAAAAGTAATATCTGCAGCTGCAACAATATGTCAGTGTCGTGCGGGATGGAGTGTGTGGTGGTGCTGGGCTGCATGCGGTGGGCGTGGAAGCGCTGCACCCACATCGGCTCCGACGACAGCGCCACCTGGACTACTGCTACCCTGGAAGAATTCGAGGCTGTCCCTCGCGTCTGCCGCGTCATCCTCGCCGTCTACGAGGAGGACCTCCGCAACCCGAAGTTCCCGCCCTCCGGCGGCTACGGCCTCAACCCGGACTGGGTCGTCAAGCGCGTCACCTACGAGCAAACCCTAGGCAACGCACCGCCCTACCTCATCTACGCCGATCACGACCACCGCGAGATCATTCTCGCAATCCGTGGCCTCAATTTGGTCAATAAAGGGGACTACAAGGTACTACTCGATAACAAGTTGGGTATGCAAATGTTCGATGGCGGCTACGTACACCACGGGCTATTGAAATCGGCGATCTGGGTGTTGAATGAGGAATCGGAGAATCTGAAGCGATTGTGGCTCGAAAATGGGTCGTCGTATAAGATGATTTTTGCCGGACATTCTTTGGGGTCTGGTGTCGCCGCCTTGTTGACGGTGATTGTGGTGAACCACGGTGACCTGCTCGGCGGGGTTCCGAGGAGTCATGTGCGGTGTTATACAATTGCGCCTGCGAGGTGCATGTCGCTCAATATAGCTGTGAAGTATGCCGATGTTATACACTCTGTGATCTTGCAGGTGAGGAATTTGAATGCCCCCAATTTGAATTTGTTTTTCTGGTTTCAGTTTGTTTGAATCAATCAAGTGAGAAGTTATTATGAAATTGGTTTTATTCTGTTTATATTTGCTTGTAAATGTATATTTTTGAGTTGTTTGATTCAATTGCTTCTGGTTCCTGATAAAATTCATTGCGTATTACCAACATATTGCAATGTTGGATATGTTGATTTTTATATATTTCTCTCATACGATGATGATTCATTATTCATGATTTTGGAAGTGGGTATGTGATCTCAATTTGGGATTGCTAGCTTCTTTCATTTGATAGGTTTCTTTGGAGGTGGTTTAGTAACCTCAAAATACCGTTGTGAACCTCAAGAAGTTCAAGGAAATGAGTTCATGTGGTTGGATGATTTCTTGGTAATTATACATGTGCAGTAGCACAAACCATCTCGATCTGAAAATAGATTACCAATAACGTGTCTCATTAAGATTCTGGGTTATCTGTTGTCTGAGTTTCATTCTCTGTGTTGAAGGGGTTTATGTATTTGAACTCTTTAAATGTTCAGGATAATTCATATGTTCTGTGTACTTCATAATTTTGGATAATATGAATGTTGAGGCTTTTTTTTAACCACTTGTTTGTCCATTAGCTAATTAGCCTAGCACTAATATAAATTGACATATTCATTTACATACAAAATAAAAAGAAAAAGTTAGTTCCAGTATTTTTCTAACCTGACCATGTTAGCTTTAGGAAAACCTCCATCCGTTAGATCTCTTGTTCAAGAAAAGCTATGGTCTGTGGACACTGAGTTGTGTTTGGTTTGTTAAGCTGATTTTGACTATTGCATCAATGGTTGTTGAGCCATTGATAGATATATAATTTGGTGGAAAGTGATGATTATTAAGCATATTTTATTGAATAATTGATTAATATTATTAACTGTTTAAGAGAAAGCAAGAGAGAGTGTATGCATATATAATGGGAAAAAAAACTTATTTGACCTAGCTAATATGTTGTTTATGTCTTGAAAATACCTACATTTCACTATCAGTATATAAATTTGGTGGAGTTACTCCAATGCAATGAACTGACCATGCCAACTTAATCTTACCTAGGATGATTTCTTGCCAAGAACACCCACTCCCTTGGAAGATGTCTTTAAATCAATGTTCTGGTGAGCTGTCTTTCATTTTTTTAATTTTTTATTTTGTTTTCTTTCCCTATGGTATCACACAGACTGTTTGAAGCTCTGATTATGTTTTGGTTTTCCCTCGTAGAGGAGTGAGTTGTTACTATTATCTCTTAAACCAGGCCTTAATCCTTTGGACAGCTTGCCATGCTTATTATTCTTGGTTTGCTTGAGGGACACCTTCATTCCGGAAGGTAGGAAGCTCAGAGATCCAAGACGACTATATGCACCTGGACGGTTGTATCATATTGTAGAAAGAAAATTTTGCAGGTAACAGCATATACTAGCTACTTCCAATTTTTATCATCAGTGATTGTTGTGAATTAGCAAAATTATTATTGCTCTGACAAGCAGAGGATTTGTGCACCATTGATTCACAGATTTTGCAAAACCATTGCATTTGCAGTTGCATTTTGTCCCTGCACCTGACAGTATTTGAGTGGAGACTCTTAGCTGCCCACTAGTGACTTTTTTTGATTCAGTTGAGGTTAAACTAAGCAAAGTAGAGATAGTGGAACTTTAGGTATATGAGTTGTCTTGGCAATTTCGTAGTCAAAACCTTTGCTATAATGTGTCAATATGCCATGATTTGTATGAATACAACAATTGAAGGCAATCTGCACAAAGATTTGAGAAGAACACAGTGAGAAATTCACATGCTTTATCTCAACATATTTATTTGAACTGTTTTTTGATAAATTATTTTTCAAAGTACCGATTTTTGCTTAGGTTTTATAATGAAGTTTTTATTAAAAACAGTATGTGTCGATCAACATGTCCATCAATCAAAGGGCTCTCCAATAGAATTCAATTGATAGGTGGATTGTTCGAAATCTTGTTAGAAATCTTTTATTGAAATTTAGTATGCGTTTTATTTTATTTTATTTTATTTTTTTGATAAGTCAAAATTTTAGTATGCTTCAATCTATTAATTGAGCAATCGAGCAGCTTGGCGATAGGTATTGATCAACTGAACCATGCAGCAGATGTTTATTTTTGGAAACTTCTTTGAAACAAAATTCTACAAGTATTTGACTTACCAAGTCATATAGGTTATCTATATTCTCTTTAAATATAGGGTTTTAGTCAGTCTAGGGAGTGTGTTTTTTTAACTCTCTAATCATCTAGAGAGAAATCTTGTGTGAGGGAGCAAATACCCAATTACTCAATCTAGGGTTCTCTTAGACACCATTGTATGTGTTTGAGTATTCACCAAGGAGAAAATTCCGGCATTCCTATTCAACCAATTAGAAATTTGAGAAGAAGGAAGGACAAGTTGGACAACAATTGCAGAAGCAGATTCATTAGGAGAGTCTGTTGAGGAGCGGCCTAACAGCCTGAAGACTTGAGTGGAAAATTTGGCATCAGTTTGGGTCAAGAATCAACTATGTTCTAAGTTGAGGGAATGGTTAACCTAATTGTAACTCTTTTTGTGGGAATCAACTAGGTTCTGTGGTTTATGTCAAAGTTTTATGGATGAATGTTTATGTTTGCAATGATTGGATTCAAAAACTAACATTTACAAATTGAGATTCGAATCACAATCAGCATAAGTACCTAAAAATAACTGAAATTTAAAATTAATTTCCGTAAGACTTATTCATCTCCCTCTTAAGTCTATTTCACCTCACACACTAACGTATTGGAGCCTTGGGTGACGGTCTCTACAATCCAACAGTGGAACTACTGTACAACTACCATATCTCAGTTGGCAATGTTAGGTGGTCAGGAAAGTATCAACCATCTTTTACTCCAACCTGGAACAGACGCGTTCTGCAAAAATTCCGGTATAAGTTTGTCAAATTAAGAATTTAATCCTATTACAGCTTGATTAATCTGACTTGACCAACTTGAATTCTGCCTGTTTTCCAATGTCAAAATAGTTATTCCAAGCAATCAACCAATATATATATATATATATATATATGCTTCTTACATTGTATACTCCTTATTTGAGTTTAAGTACCATTCATTCATGCATCTTGAAGGGCAAGGATAAACGAAAAAAAGTTGCTATCATTAATGATGGAATTGCTCTGATATCCTTTTGTGTCAACTAGTACATTTTACTGACACATAATACTGTAGCCAATTTTTATTTGTTTCAAATCAGAATTTATCATAATATATTCTCTTTCACGCACAGCCAGATTAGTGTTGAGTACAGCAATCCTTTTAGTAGTATCGAGTGATGATCTATATCAAACCCTTTGGTATAAGCCAATATTCCAAACTTCTATTGTTTTTGGGAAAAAAATATCCCTATTATTGGTTTAAAATAATTTAGTATCTAAGCACATCCTTTATTTTTCCCTTCTCGTGCAGATAAATTACATGTCCTGTTTCAGATATACTCTTCTCCCATTTGGTGTAAATTGTCAAGTATTTTTTTCCGAAATATCTCTTATCAGGAACCTTTTCTTTTTTTCTCGTTTCAAGAAACATTGATTGTGTTTTTTTAGCAGAAGAGTTTGCTAACTCTGAAACTGACTTTTGCTTGGTACGCAGGTGTGGGAGGTATCCTCCAGAGGTTAGAACTGCTATCCCTGTTGATGGAAGATTTGAACATATTGTCTTATCATGCAATGCAACATCTGATCATGCAATTATTTGGATAGAAAGAGAAGCAGAGAAGGCTTTAGAAGTAAGTGGGAATCAGTTTTTCACTTTTTTATTATATATTATTATTACCCATCATTCACATAATTTGTTCCTATTCCCGAGGTAACAAAAAGGAGTGTTGGATGTCTCATTCCTCATCCCAGCATGGACGCTGGGAATTCTCATTCTTTGTTCAATAGAAACTCCAACAAATGCATAAAATGCATCATAAGAATTGTTGCGACCAAAAATAGCACGGGATGAGATATTGATGAGGATTGTTACTTATTTTTTTATGGAGGTGTTTTGACATATTGGCGTTTCTGGTAGTTTAACCAAGGTCATGGTGTATAACTGGGTTAGATTTGATAATTTGATCAGAGGAGCGACATAAATTCCTTTGACGTTGATTAATCAGTTGACCGATTGCTGCTTTAGTGGCTGTTGCATTTCAGAAGTATATGTTTGTATGACCATATCTAATATCAATCAGTCAAGAATTGTCTTAAAGAATAGGAATAAAATAATGAGTGACAAATGAAAATTAGTATTTTAAGACAAAAAATGCACCACCGTGTACCTATATGCGGGTTCTATCCTTGATTGTTGTTAAACTCTAGTGCTAAACATGTTATGTTTGAATGTTCTATAAGAGATCTACCATTGCCACTAAAATAATGTCTTCTCACAGAGGATGAGAGAGAGCAGCTCTGAAACCGTAATGACTGCCCCAAAAATACCGAAACTAGAGAGGTTGCAGACAATTGAAAAAGAACATAGGGATGCATTGGAAAGAGCTGTTAGTTTGAACATTCCTCATGCTGTGTGCACTGCCGAAGAGTATTCCTCAGGAAGCAATGAGGGATCCTCAAAGCATACGTTGCTTTCTCAGAAAGAGAGTGAAGATTCCTCGAACTCCAAAGCTGAGTTAAATCCGGGTTGTGGAAGTACTAACTGGAATGAAGTGGTTAAGAAGCTTTTCAAGAAGAACGAGTCAGGAGAACTATTGATGAGTAGAGACATGACTGCCCCCAGATAAAAAGCACTTCTTTCGTCGTATTTGTTCTTTTCTTTTATTTTTTTGGGGTCCCGGGGGTGGTTTCAATCTTAAATGTTTGTAAATGCATTAGAGGTGAGATCTCCAAAGTGATTTTCCCTGTTTGTGTTTTATACCAATTTTTTGTATGCTAGTTTGTGTTTTTGCTGTAAAAATTTCACTTCTTCTAACAATTTAGAGAATCATTAACCAATTTGTTTGCACGGATATTGTTTATAAGAATGAGAATTTGCAGTACTAAAGTTCTGCCGTACAGATGAAATAGCAGGGGCTAGCGCTTCCCCTCATGTCTATCCCTTTGCTCGAGCTGTCTTGTACTCTAGTTGAGGAAAAAACTCCCTCGCTCTGCTCTTTCGTCAATCTCCGTGAGAGAAGCGAAGGGGCGCCTCCTGCCCCATTTATTCAAAGGATTTGGCAAATCCTGGAATGGAACTTTGAACTTCTGGCCAGGTTACAACTTACGCCTGTTCGACTGATCTATCTAATGTCGCTGGTGCAAAATTGACTTTCCTGTGTCTGTCATAAAGGGGATCCTAGGTTCTTGACATCTCGGCCTTGAACCTCGAGGTGAAATAATTTCCTACGAGAAAGGTCAGACCAAGAAACAAAGTCCGAGTATCTCCTCTAAATAGTGAGTGTGCACGTTTCCAATGACGAACCCTTTCTTTTCTATTAATCAATGGAAGCTTTCAATGTACAAATTCCGTCTTCCTTCTTTGCCCCACCGAATGTCCTACAAAGTGTCCGTGTCGATCAAAATGTTAATTAAATCAACTATCAATTTGCTAATTGTAAAATTGCAACTTAATTTGCTCTTTAACCCACGAAAAATGAGGAAATGTTTTTCTTAACGCACCAAAGTTAGTTTCTGCTGGAAAATCCATTTTAAAATTTTCCCCATAACTTTAACAGAATCGCCTAAAACTCTATGCACCATATATTTACTTGTTTACATATAATTTGTAAAAGCTGATCAATGTTATTACGTACATTTATATAATTGGGAAAAGGAATTATCAAGCGAGATATATATATATATATATATATATATATATATATATATATATATGTGAATGCTACAGTAAAGGAGGCAAAATAAAGGAATAAAACACAGGAAAATTAACTAAAACAACAATTGAAAATACCAAAGCAGTGATTCTACGACCACAATAACATAGCATAATAAGGAAAAAAAAAAAAAAAAAGGCATATCCATCCAAAAGCAACAGGAGGATGGAACAGAATTGCAGCAGTCATCATCTTAAAGTTTTTGTACAGCCAACATAGCAACTTCTGACTACAATCTATATGTCCAGTTTTAAAAGTATGAATTCCTATCAAGTTTGCATTGCGTCCGCATGATAGGTCTCCAGCTCTTTGTCGAGATCATCAGCTGATACTTTGACAGGTTTCTTCCCCCCTCGGCCACGCCCCTGACCACGAACACCACCTCGGCCACGGCCACGGCCACGGCCACTTCTATTCGGCAGACCACCACGACCACGGCCACGGCCATTCTGTATGCCCCCACGGCTCCTCTGACTACTAGAAGATGAAGCAACATGTGAATTGACCATGTCGAGATACAAATTCACCTTTTCATATTAATCATCAAACATATTAAAGACCATATCAGAGTGTAGGCACAAGAATGGTGTAAAAAATGGAGCAACTGGAGAGGCTCATATCATAGTCAGAATACATTGTGTCTAATATTAGAAGGCTTTGCTGAATCTGATCATATTGAAGGAATACCTTAATATCTGCTTGAATATTCGTATAATATAAATCAAGTCCGTAGGAATCTGACAAGTTTTATGCTAGCTATCTTAATGAGATCCTCCAGGCTTAGGATTGGTGGAGTACAAAATAAGACACAAGGTACCGCTCAAGTAGAGGTTCTCATCCTTCTTACAAAAACTATTTTCTCAAGGGGAAAAAAATTGCTGTTCTCTCTTAGTTTTTATATCCCAAACAACATGTCTGGAATTTTTTTTTAAGCTCCTACACCAGTACCATATGAAATCAATCAATCAGAATCTCATACTTGATGTCACTGAGGTTCTAGACTTTATTAAATAATGCGAAAGAGAATTCATTAAATATTTGCCTTGAAAAAAAAGTTGATTTAGAACTTGAGACTTTATTGTTGCATGATAAGAAATCTCCTCACTTTTAAAAATCTGACGTATAATCCGAAGTCTAACCAACATCCCAATCGTTCGCACAACCTAGTTTCTATGCACCCAAACAAGAAATTTTTATTCCATTGAAACATGAAAAGGAGCGTTTATGTCCTTTCTGATTTCCAATTAAAATACAAATATGGCATTAATTCACACAAAGAAAGGTACCACATCACAAACCAATTAAAAAGTGTTTAAGATATAGCCATTTTTTCCCCAGAGAAAAGAAAATGAATAGGACTATATATATATTGGTTGAAAAGACTCACCCAGCACCACGAATAACAGCAGCAGAGCCTCTGCCACGACCCATTCCCGACCTGCATGACTTCAAGTGTCAATAGAATTCTCGATATGACAATATTTAAGAAAAATGAGTAACTAAGAACTCTCAGATGCAGCTTTTGATAGAAGTTACAACCCAGAACTCCGGGATACATATACAGACACAATTGCAACCAAAGAATTAGAACCAAATCAATTTCCAATGCAAAATCGTTTTAGTTGTTAAATTTCATCAAAATTAAATAAGCTAGATAGATCTTGAGACAACAAACGGATATTGAGCTAAACTAACACCAGGAAATTCAAAAAAAAAAAAAAAGAGATGGAGCTACGACGAACAAAGGATTAACAAAATCAGTGATTGGCAATATTGGAAATGACAAAATGTCAGAGATCTCTGGTGCTTTCAAACTAGCATATAGAACCTGACCAGTTGCTAACTTGCTACCCACCACAAGGCACAATGTACTCTAGCTGATACAGTATGCTCAGCTTGAAAAGCACACAATGATGCTCCTACCTACGTGGGTTGTTGGGAGAGAGTACTGGAGATGGACCTAACATTTGGATAATTTTTGTACAACGCGACTGCTCTGGGGTTTGAGAACCTACATCCCCAAATAAACCCTTACAACCTTCAAAACGGAAGAAGTAATATTCCACATTTTGGAGGATATCCCATACATTTATGAACCTAGTCAGTAACACAAACCTTAGATGTCAAGCCAGTCACTCATCAACTTTCCCAACCTTCCATGTATTTACTAGATAACTCGACCAGAGTTTTGGTAAATTTGACAAAAGAAAAATTGAAAGGAAAAATAAAATAAAATAACAAAGCGGGTTAGAAGTACAGCTACATACGCCATAACAACCGTCCTCCTTCCATTTACTCCAACTACATTGACACGAGCCGAAACAGGAATTTCTGAATTTGCGCCTATTATTTCGATCTTCATAGGCTTTCCATCCAGTTGTACATTATTATAACGCTTAAGTGCTTGAAATGCGTCACTTCTTCTAGAAAACACCACTTCAGCTGAACCCTGCAACCAAGTATAAAAGGAAGCAGCTTTCACTAGGTGACCAACCACCAAAGCAAACAGTAAAACTAAACCAGTAAGAAGCAACCAGGTGTTCTAACTTAAAAGAAACCACACTATTGCAGCAAGGACATAACTTAAGCCAAAAAATAATAGTTAATCATATAAAAACCAAACTAAACCTAAAACACCAATCAAATCATGAGCCACCACATCATAATCCTTTCGCTGTCTCCATAAACAATTATTTGGCACACACGCACACATATGGATGTGCTCAGTAGTGCACCTCAAATATCTAAATTACATTTTTCTAAAAGATCCCCTACAGAGATATATTCGTAATTTTAGTCAAATACTATATTAAATATATGGACCTTATTATTTATTTCAATAACACAAAAAAACCAGACTCTGATTTTGAAGAAATAACAGAATATACAAACCAATTCAAATAATATTCTTAAACCCACTTTTAAAAGAAATTTATGCTTATGCTTTACAACTCGAACACAATATGTAGGAGATACTTGAAACTATTTCAAAACGCTTACAAAACAGAAAGGATGTAAATTCATATTCTAGAAAACAAACCAAAAGCTAAAAAGTCTAGGCATGTTAATAAAGTCAGCTTGGCTGACACTAATATAAAGGACATTCTAGGTAAAAACCATGCCCAAAGAATTCCCCAACGTCTCCCCCTTTGAACTTTCATCCTATTTCATGTATATTATGTTGGCTCTTTCAAGTGTTTCAACTGTGGCATGTGCACCAAATTTACCAAATCCCAAACCGAAGGATAAAGGTACACAGCCAATTATTCATTAGTATTCTTTAATTTTTTAGGATAAAAAATTATATTTATGTATGATAGGGTGTTCAACCTGGGCAGTTCATTCGTTTTGAAAGAATAATGTAACAAAATAAACAATAACAAGATGTTTTATAAGTGTTCCAGCTGGGCAGTTTACTCATTTTGAAATAATAATTTAACAAAATAAACAATAACAATAAGTTTTACGAGCAATTACAGAGTACTTAAATTCCAAAAAAGTTCAAAGAAGAACGTCAGCTATCAAAACAAAAAAGAAAAAATTGTTGCTAGGTGCATGTCTAAGTAGCACATTGAACAAATAATAGAACCAGTGTACTTCAAGCATTTGCAAGAGTCCGCGCACGTCGGCAAATAAAAAATAAAAATAATAATAAAAAGAGGTGCTACCCATTTAATTAATGTGCTTGCACTCCCCAGACTAAAGGAAAAAAATTAAAGTTAATGAAACAAAATAGAGTCCCTGGTTACGGGAGGAGAGAGAGGTAGAGTGACATAGACGGGAGAAGTCATGGCCCTACATGAATAAAAATTTTAGCCAGTTGAATGTTTGTTTTACATATTTCAACAGAATTTAAATTAATCCAAAAAACTTTTCTGAGGATAAGCTTATATTAGCACATTATCAATGATAAATTGCATCTTAAAGCCGTTGGCTCATGTATATCTGCCACTACGAGTAATCCACTAGCTGAACATACATATTATACTATAGACTCCTGCTGAGGATTAGGAAACAGTGACACCACATTCACCATATGACACAAACAATATGAATGGTCAGAAAAGGCTATTAATTAATCAAGTAGACACCAAATCCGCAAAAAAGAAACAAACAACTCAGAATAGAAAAGTATAAATATAAATCATATGTACTGAGCCTGAACACTTACACTTGGGCGACCATTTGCATCAAAATGAACAGCATATCGTTTCAGTTCTCCAATCTCAGAGAAAAGTTCCTGAGTCGCAAGTCAATTTTCAGCAGAACTTCTTAACAAATCATTTCCAAAGATGTGTCTAATGCGAAAATATATGGCTCAAATTGTACCCTTATGTCTTCATTAGTCACTCCGAAGTCCAAGTTGGAAACATACAACTTTGTGCCATTTTCTACTCCAGTTAACCCTGCAGCTCGAAGACTATCTTCAAACAAATCATGCTGCCACGGAAAACCCTTGGTTCTGCGGAAAGACTGGTGCAGGCATACCAAAAAATAATCCAGATTGCGAAAACTAAAGGTCAGCATAAATCCATAAAATAATATAATTACCACTCTTAAAAGTAATTCATATATCAGAAAAACATCCATAATATCAGAAGTAGAATCCAAACAGATTGAAATGCTCAATAACCAACTAATCTAATACCAAGTAAAATTGAGCTATATGATATGGATTGTAGATGGGAGTAAAGGATTTGACCCACTGCATATAAACTGGTGCTAAGCTACAGGTGAGAGCTCCAGATCTGAAGTTCAGCGAAGGAAGCCCTTTGCAAAAACGCCATGAACTATGATAGAAACTGAAATTCATGCCCTGAAGAAATTCCGCATATAGCAAGAGGATCCACCATAAACTCCCCCGTCTAAACACCCAGTAACCATAGACTAAGCGATATCAAGTAAAATATAAGGATTGGTATGGGTATAGAAATTTCAACCCCACTAATTGTTAGCTGATGATATACTGGTGAGAACTCAAATTCGTAAGTTCAATTAATGAAGCTCCTTTGCAAATAAATGCTAAGAAGTAAGTATAACTTAGTGCGGCCACCAAAGAACTTCGGCATACATCAACGAGATCCATTGCGAAGTCCTGAATACAGCCACAATTACAAATAAACCGTGACGATCATGGTACAAATGCACTGTAAGGCGACAGTACATTTGTGACTGAGCCAAAATGAGCTTCTCCATGAACAAAGGAGGTCACACATCCTCTCATTTTTGGGTTCTACAGCAGTGTTAAAGATCCTCGTGTTTTGAAACCTAAAGCATGTCAGAATCTCAAGCATATGCATAAGACATCCATAGTTTTGAGCTTGCCTTGGCAATGGCATAAGATGATGGCCGAGTATTCACCCCGAGTGGACCTCTACGAGGAGGTGCCCCCGTCATTCTTCCACCAGAAAACGACCTTCCTGGACCTCGACCACGTCTGGCCCTACCATGTCCTCTAACTCTATCGCTATTACGTCTGCTTTTTATCATATCATCAAGTGACATATCCAAAGAAGCCATTGATATGAAGTTTATACAAAACTTTTCCAAAACAGACAAACCTGTCAACAAACCAAAACAAATATGTAAATAACAAGAAAATCAAAATCATATGCGCATTGGTTCAAACCTAATATAAAAGATAATTATGAATGGCTTTGCTGTTTTTCTGCAGGAACTAGGAAGGGATCAACATATTATTGTTCTCTTTTGTTAAAGACACCAAAATAACAAAACTGATACAAAGTGAAACAAACAGGCAATTCAAGGCACAACCTCATATGTGTTTGCGGGCGGGCGGGCGGGCATGCATGTGTATATCATATAACCAGTCGCGAATTGCATATAAATAAATACGATACATTGTAACACATGCCAGCAATTAATAAAATACAACGTATTTATATATATAATTTAAGAACCAAGACACATTAACAGTGCTACACAATAAATAAAAATCTATGAAGCACGGACACCCATTTAAATTAGGGTCACCAGACAGCCCACACATTTTTTTTTGAAAAACATAAATATCCACATGCCCAAATTCCATTAAAATACAAACAAAAAATGTATATATTTGTATCTAAAAGCACAATTCTTATTGTTGTGACCAAAAATGCAGGAAAAGAAGATAAGATTGAAATCTTATCCCCCTCTGTGTTCCCCACTTCATTCATGACTCTCAAACTCTCTCTTTGAGCCGGACCCCTCTCTCATCTCCTGCATCTCTTCATTTCATTCACGGCTCTCCTTCCTCTCTCTCTCTCTCTCTCTCTCTCTCCCTCTTCCAGCCATTCCTCTCTCTCATCCCCTCCATCTCTTCACATATTTGATCTATCTCTCTTATCTCACTTCATACATCTCTCTTTGAATGAATACACGCACAGATATATGTATATATATATATTAAATAGTTGATAGAGATGATATATATATTGCTAACAGAGTCTCAAAATCCCAATCTACATTACACTAATGACTGCTCCCACCGATTATATAGCTTAACAAGGTGTCAAAGAGAGTATGCCATGCACAAAATTCTATAAACTAAAAATAAAATAGACAACAATGCTGAAACAGTTATAATTCTGTTACATGAACATGCAGAGGACAAATCTGTCTATCCATGCACATAAATCACAAACAATAGATTATAGAAGATCTTCCTTATACTTTTGATAATATGATGCCCTATAATCTAGTCTGATCAAATAATTTAAACCACAAATCAGTAATATTACAGGTGCAAAAATAATGAGTCCTAAATCATTTCAAATTGGATAAAAGGAAAAAAGAGGAGATATGAACTAAACAAATTAAAACACTTAAGGAAGAAAAAATGAGTTTAAATTCCGTAACATAAAAAAATCACGACAGGAAATCAAATTCCTGGCGGGCCTGATAATCTCATTTCAGCCAAAAGGCCCAAAACTAAAACATGATTTGTTTTCCAGAACATGCGTCTTCAAGGGATTTTGAAAGCAGCGACCTTTTTGTTCTATAAACATTGTAATTTTAAACAGAAACAGAAACAGGAAACAAGATCCGAGAAAATGCACAAATATTTCCATCTAAAACGAAAACATAACTAAAAAAATCTAAATCATTACATAGTGCAAGAAAGAACAAAAAAAAATTGTATATATGTATACGACCTATGATTCTATATGGATACACGTATACGAACAAGCACGCATAAAGAAAGATTAAATTAAAAGAAGAATACCTAGAGATATGCGTCAGCTGTGAGCCTCAACCTCTATGCGAGAATTAGAAAGCGATATAGAGAGAGAGATTGGAGGGGGGAGGGGCAAGGATTATGGAGATGAGATCTAGGTTATGGGAGACCTATTTGACATGGAAAGGAGCTTCGCAAGAGTTGCTGCTAGGGTTTGAGAAGGCGGTACGAAGAATAAAGATGAGAGAGAAGGGTTGATCTATATTGGTTCCTAGGGTTTCTATTTCTTGGACGGTGGTGTTTGGTGGGGACACTATTTTTTCACGTCAACGCTCCAACACCAGGTCAATATATATGGTTTTGGATTTTGGGCTTTACGACCAGGAAATTAAGCCTAATGTAGCGTAGCAATTGGATTGGGCTCAAATCAAGATTGACTCTCTTTTGTATTTATAATTGGACACTCCTGTATTGACCCATCCTCAATTCAAGTAGGGCTTGGGCAGGACTCGGGCAGGCCCAATCAAAAGTTTTTTTTTTTATTCTTTTCCACCAGATGGCCCAATCATACGAAGTTTTCCAAAACCGATTGTGAGATGGAGTGGTGTGCCCCGCACATTTGGTTTTGGAATTTCAGACTCCAAATATTTTTTCAACTTTATGCATTAAGAAAATAAAGACTGATTTATGGGCCAAAAATGGTAGTTCATCATTGCTCTCATATAAATTTAGATCTATTATCATTACTCTAAAGAAATTTCTTAATCTTATAGGTAATTAATTTGTTGTTCTAGTTGATCGTGGGACTCGGGGGTGGAGTTAGGATTTTAATTTAGAGAAGGCGCAATGTAAAGAATATATATATAATTTAAATAGGAAGAAAAAAAAAATTACATACTGTATACATCATTCTTAAGTGCAAAAAGAAGAATGTTAAGAAGTAGGGGGTTAAAAAAATTAATAAGAAGAAGAAAAAGGGAAGAAATTTGAGAAATTTGAAAAGAAAAAAAATTAGAGTTTGAGTAAAGAAGAAAATTTTAACTTTTCTTTTAAGGAAATCAAAGGAATATTAAGAGCAAAAGAAAAGGAAAGAAAAATTTACAAGACAATTTTAGAAATTTAAAATTTTAGGGAAAGCATCATATAGAAATTTTCTTATAAATGTACAAATTAAAATAAAAATTATTATATTTTATAGTGGGCGGGGCCAGGTCAGGAGGGACACAGACTGGCTCCGCCCCACTATTGTGTTTATGGAAGAAGGAGTTTCTCCGAGAAGGACACAAAAAATATTTCATTTTGTTATAGAGCAACTTTCCAGGAAAAATCATTTTTGAGAAAAATAGTACCTCGCAAATTTTGTAGCCTAACTGATGAGGAGGCAAGATCATTCACTTGATGAAGGAATGATTTCATTGTGAGAATACCCTCATTATAATGTTTTCTATCTTATATATTTTGATTTCCAAACAACTCGTGTGTTAGAATGTGGTTTATTTCCTTTTTTTACCTAACCACAGGCATGCAACTTGGCTAGTTCGGCTAGTCTACTCAACACAAGACATAAAATCCTCCATCCAAACGTAATCACACCAATCTCCAAAGTAAGCCTATTCTAAACTAATCCTAGTTAGGTTTAGGTTTGCCAGATTTGACTCGTGACTGAATTAGGTTGTTAGACTTTGTTATCTCAATCATTATTTTTCTAAGCTAAAGTCTGTATATTGAAGAGTTCGGACTGAAAAAAATAGTTAGGATCATGGCCTTATGTTATTAAAACACAAGTATTATTCAAATATCTTAGCTTTAAGCTCTCTTTTTCTTTTTTCCTCAACCTTTATGTTGAACCTTACTATGTGTTATATTGTTGTCAATAACCTCAATAACCAAGAGGTAAAGAAATAGAATTTTTTTTTTTTTTAATTAACAAAAAATTCACTCACGCATACTTTTTGCCTATATTAGGACTCGATTCCTCTCCTCCATTTTGAGGATTGGGAGTTTATACTTAGATGCCTTTTGATAATAAATGAATTGATATATGGTCAAATGATACGTGATTATTTTATGCTTAGGTACTTTCAAGTGCAATTTATCTTGTAATTTTCTGTTTCTTACTAGTGTAAGGCAACACATTCATTTGAATAAATCTAATCTAGACCCCAAAAAAATAAAATAAAATAAAATATGCATTTAGTTTTTGAGTTCATGAAAGTGGGATATGAAAAAAAACTTCTTTTGTTCAATTTTTATGCAAATTATGTGACCAAAAGGTGTTATTTTGACACCATTTACTTTCCTTGAAGAATCAAAAGTGGCCTAAATGTTAGTATTTAGTTTTTCAAGTTTGGTGTCTTTCATCGTTAATCCAATTTAGGTTATACTGTAATTAGTTAACTAGATGACAGAAAATGAAATGAAGTTAATGATGGGGGGTCTTAATCTATACATTTATAATAATAATAATAATAATAATAACAAGGGATTGCTTTCTCATGTCCCCAAACAAAAAGAAAAAGGAAAAAGGAAAAAGAGAAGGGTGATTGCTTTATCGTTTTAGTTCGGTAAAGAAGGTCCCCCCTGCTTTTTAGACTTTCCATCACCAAACACAGTGACACAAGACAATTCATTTAAACCTTTTGCACTTGGAAGACATCTCTCATCTGAGTAACTGACCAAAAGTTCTACTGCCCACAAGTGCCTGTAACAAATTGAATTGATACCACTACTGTTTGCTAAAAATAGACTTTCAAAACTTCTTTCAAACTTGTGCTTCTTGCATTCTCATTTTACTATAGGCTCTTTTTTTCCACTTGGAAGTCAGATTGGTGATTTATGATACGGGACTTCGAATCCTATAAAGGGTTTGAACGACACGGGAGCAAAAGTGGACTTCAATGACCCTCCTGTTTCGTGATAGAGAAGTCAAAACAATCAATTTCGCAGGTGAAGGCAACTATCAAGGCCCCCTATAGAAAAAGGAATCGATCAACCTATTAAGGTACGACAAACGACAAAAAATTAATATAACTGTACATTTTTTGTTATAAAGGGATCAAGTATTAATTTGATTGTTGCAACATCCAAATCATGTAGAATTTTACACCAACAATTAACAGACAAAGACTAGACGAGGGACCAAGGCAAAAGAGTGGTCTTAGACAAGGACATCTTGTAAGGTGGTACGCATGTATGGGAACAAAATTCTCTCCATAGCATTGGAGAGGATTTTGGTCTGTGTGCTGGAGAGACAAATAACCATAGAATGTTTTTCTTGTTCAAGGACGTTTTTGCCACACAATTATTTAATTCTTTGAAACTCTTAGTAGCTTTCATTCCAAGAGACTAATCATCTTACCCAAAAAAAACACTACCATAACACTCAAATTTCTTTTGTGTCAATTCAATCAAATGACAACATTTTTTTTTTTTTGTAGACCCCAGAAATTGATGAAAAGAACACAAGGATGAAACCCCGAGTCCTTTACCAAAAATGCACAAAATTTACATGGAAAAGCAATTTTATAAATTGTTGGTTAGTTGAGGATAGATTGATTCGAAGCCAAAGTTTAATATTTTACAAAATCACAGCATATTTTTGATAAATTTGACCTCCCAATAGGACTTGAGATGTTCCATATTGTAAGGTTCCTACATAGATGAAACTCACTCTAAATATAGGACAATAAAGATAAATCACTTGTCCTGTTACGGACAACATTTACCTACTCATTACTGAATAAGTCATTCATAACATTCAGACTAACCATTGATGTAGATGAATCATAAAATACACACATAACATGTAATTATTATAAATAAATAAAAAAGGATCATTGAATTTATTCTTATAAAAAAAAGGTATTAACCTTGTTTATCTTTACTGATTTTGTAATTACAAATTATATGTGTAATTACAAATTATATGTGTATTTGTTATTGGACACATCATAAGAATAACTATTAAATTCAACAGTGAGTAGATGGTAAGTATTGTTCATCATGTTAAAGTCCCTAATCCGCTTTATCTGTGAACTTCATTCCTATACTTAGTCGAGTACTTTAGCAAGTACAAATGGACTATAAATTAAGTGGAGGCTTGCTTCTTGAATCCAAGATTGACAATTTTAACATTATTCTTTTTCCTACCCTTTCTCGGCAAAAGATGCAGATCGGCAGAGCATTTGAGTGGAGGAATTTTGATGCCCTCGAATTTTAAAGCAACCTACTTCATTCACTACTTATGAGTCAAAATCAAGGTTTAGTTGCACTAAATTTACACATATATTAACAAATAGAGTGACATTTTTACTCTCCCACTCAATTTTACGCTCATAGTCACATATATATATATACACAGTAAAGATCAATCCCCAATAAAGATATAGATTGACATTTTTACACATATATTAACAAATAGAGTGACATGTTTACTCTCCCACTCAATTATACGCTCATAGTCATATATATATATACATACACAGTAAAGATATATATTTTGGAACCAGCTAATTTCTTTTGTGTTCCCAAACATTCAACCATTTCCTGCCCCCACAGAGTCAAGGACGATTCCATTTCTAAGTGGGACAAAGGGCTATTGACAATTTGACAGAGACATCATTTGGTGAAAATTCAAAACTGATCTTAATCGTGTTGCTCTTGTCAAAGAAAACTAGTAGTCGTACAAATATCTTAGCCACGTCCCCACATGCACAAACATCCTTCTCAATCCAAAATCTTTTGAACCTTCCTAGTTGCTACACTCTAACAACTAACCTAATTCACTTCTCTTAACCGAAGTCTCAGATCTCTTGCCTCCTAGCATTTTAAAAATCTTAAACTCAAAAAAGTGGGCAACATGTACACAAAGGATGAGTTGTTACATGTGACAGATGATATCGTAACCAAAAAGGATCCTAAATCCCAAGATGGAGCGATTGTCACATCCTAGATCAGGCAGGGGGATAATGGATAATACCTACACATTAGGACAGATCATGACACACTGTTTAAACATAATTCAAGTCAACACCCCCACATCCAAATAGAACACAAAATCCCATTTTAACACTAATATCCAAGGCCAAGAAAGGGCTCCAAATATATCACACACAAGAGTGATGTGACGCAACAAAAAGAACAACACCACATAATAAGCATTAATCTCTCATCTGGTAGTATTAGAACAGCTACAGCATAATTTACATGCAATTGCACACAATCCCATGACAATGTCACAACACCCAACTTAAGAGAAACCAAAGAAAGAGTGAATCAATTCTAGAGACAGAAAGATCAAGGCAATACCACTACAAGGTAGGTCTAATTTAGTTTCCTTCCACACCAGTTTGTGCCATTTCAGGCTTCACCTTACGAGGTCGACCCCTAGGCCTCCCGGTCTTTGACACTGCCGGCGCAGCTGCAGGTTCAGCAGCCCGATGCTTCTTGGGTGCAGGGGGAGCATTTGGGTCCTTCCGTGGCCGGCCTCGGCCCCGCCTCGGCGGAGCAGTAGGGTCAGGCCTCATGTAGTTGTTCTTCAGGAAGATCAGCTCTCCACTGTCCTTCATTTTGTTCAAATGGTGCGAGAGCAGGGTCGAGTGCCCAGCTGGCAAATCTCCATACTTGGATTCGATGTACTTCGATATGGATGATTTGTTGGAGCCTTCCTTCTCATCCAAAGAGTCCAGAGCTGCAAAAATCATCTGCCAGTACCAAATTCATTCAATACAACGCAAATAAGTAAATAATTGGGAATCCCAAGAAAAACTGCACACAAATTGCTTATAAAGGACAAATTTTACCTAAAAACTTAGAAAAATTAGAGCATTATTTTACCTAGATGCAAAACGAGGGGTTTTTTTTTTAGGAATTCTTAAAAAACACTCAGAATCAACAAAAACTTAGCGTAGTAAAAGATAATCAAAATTAAATCAAATCAAAGCACAAGTTTCATTACTGCAAAAAGCAAACAAGGGTTCCAGATATAAGGTTTTTTTTACTTTTATGTTCTGGTATGAATGAAAAATCGAAACTTTTCTACATAAATCTAAAAAAAAATCTTATATAAAAATATATATATATATATGAACAGTGAATATGCAAAAATGGAAACTATGGAAGTAAGTGAAATATAGAAGAGTTGGAGATAAGTTTGAGGTTTAATAACAAGAAATGCAAAATGAGGGCTAAAGGGAAATGGGTATTTTAGGGATTGTGGGAAAAGATTGTGTTTACCTCTGGGTATGGAGGAAGCGATTGAGGTTTGCTAACCTCTTCGGTCGCCATTGGAAGTTGCAGAGAGAGAGTGAGAGAGAGCTTTGGAGTCCCCACAACGAAGCAGCGTCAGCTTCGAAGTACAGTAACAATTGATTGCTGAGGGCGAGGAGTGAGGAATCCTAGAGAGAGAATTTAAAAGGGAAAATACAATGGGGGAGTTCTCTTGGGGGTAAACTGACGGTTGAGATTTGTTGATTGAACAAGAATCGGACGGTTGTTATTGTGTAACAAGCGGATCGGTGACGTGGATACGGACTGAAATGGGTGTTCCATACTTATCCTCAATTATTAATATAATATTGGTTTTTATTTTTTTTAGGATTTAATTTATTTAGACTCTGTGATTTGTCAATATTGCAAGAAAACCCCCTAAATTTGAAAAAATTCAATAAGACCCCTGTCAAACATTGTCGGACCAGGCCAAATAAGTGACTAATCTACCCTTTTTGTCGTTTTTCCATTTAGGCTTAACCAAACACCGTTTATGGAATTCACAATCCTATCTATTGAATTAAACATTTTTCATTCTTTTACCCAAACACTCCACTCCAGTCCCTCTACACAAAAACATACATTTAGGACCTGTTTGGCATGCAATGTGTTTTAGGCATTATATTTTTTATCAATACCAAAACAATTATTTTGTTGTAAGAGTGTTTTGGGTAAAAATCGGAATCATGTTTAGTAACGAAAATTTGTTTTGAGAAATTCAAAATTTTGTTTTAGTTCCTCTGTTACAATATCAATACACATAATATCACTAATTTGGTGATTTGGGTTTTGACTAAAAAATCTGATATGTTATGAACTATTTCAAACCAATATCAGTCGTCCCAAACATAATATGAGCTCAAATTTGGATATCAATATTAGAAAAACAATATCATAATGCATGCCAAACGGGCCCTTAACTTTATATACATGTGTGGAATGCTAGCGGCACATGTCAACAGCAAATAAGCAGACTTTATATATATATATATATATATATATATATATATATATGTATATATATATATATAGCTTTCTGAATTAGTTGTTTCTTTCTCTCACCCTCCCTTCTCTTTCTCTCTTTATTTCAAAGTCACCGGCGGCAAAGAACCTGTCGTCCAAGTCGCCTGTTAGCCCGGCCTTCTCCTCACCTTCCTCGGCTTCCTCATCTGGTCCAGCTAGTGAGGATTGACATATCTAAGAGAAGCCATCATCAATTTGGTTCGTTGCTGCCGCCGACAGTGACAAAACACTGGAAGAGAACCCATATTTGCAGACCCAAAATTCCTCTTCTTCCCCTTCATCTTGTCCATCACCGCCGAGCTTCTTCACCAAGCACCCACCATTATCTCACCGGCTTCGTCAATTGATTCGGGCACTGGGTAACATGATCTAACCGGATAGATCGAAGAAGCTCAACACAGCAAGACCCTGTTCAAAAAAAAAAAAACACTTGTTTTCTCTTTCTACTTACCACCAACAGAACCGACATTACAGGTTTTCGGCAAGAATATGAGGATGGTGAGGAGAAGGTGTGAGGGCCTCCAGGAAGTGTCGTTCTTGGCGGTAGGGACGATGATCAAGGAAAATAGATTAGAACAACACTAGGAAGGTGAGACTATATCGTGGGTGATTAGGGATAGCAAAATCCCCAACCCGGAGGGTCCCCACCTCACCCCGCCGCTGTTATAGCGGGTTTGTGGACCCATTTATGTAAATGGGGAGAGGATGGGGATTGTATTTGAAATCCCGGCGGGGGACAGGGCGAGGCCGGTAAAGGGTAACCCCACCCCTCCTCGCCCCGTTTATAGTGCATTTTTACAAAACTACCCTTACATGTTATAAAATATTACTAAATTACATAACTATATATATAATATATTCACTTCTGAAACTCTAGATCTATTCCCTTGCAGCATAGTTGTTGTTGGAAGAATGTTATTTGTTTGATTGATAATGTTGAAAATTTCCAGACTATTCCAAAAAATGTTATATGTGGTTTTGCTATAAGTTTGATCGGGTTGAAATGATATGTTTTAAATTGTTATAATTGTGCTGAAGTTTTATTAAATTATTAGGTTGAAAAATATTTATAGTTGTGTTAATTTTGCTAAAGGTGAATTGGAATTTTAAAAAAGTTATGCGTTGGGGACGGGGGCTAATGTGGCGGGGACAGGGGAGGGGGTTGAAATTTAAACGGGTATGGGGGCGGGAAGGGAGTAAAAAATTTAACCGAGGATGGAAATGGGGAATGAGATCCCCGCCCCACCCTACCCCATTGCCATCCCAATGGCTGAGGCTGTATTTACTGACAAGGATCATGGTTGACGCCGTTGACGAGAAGCAAGGACGTAATTGCAAGCACTGAACAACAGGAAACAAGAAATTCGGCGGCGGGGAGTAATGAACAGAACTGTGAGAAAGGAATCCGGGGATGAGTGACCTTCCGACGAGTAAGGACTGAAACATGATAATGGTTGCAAGTGCAGGCACACAGTAAGACGTGACGTCGCCGAAGTTCATCCCCAGTTTCTTACATATTAAGGAAATGACATGCTTATATATATGACAATACAACCCTATTTGGTTATAAGTACAATATTATTCTAAATTACGTGCAACCCTATATCCAAATTAAATGTGATATATATACAACCTAGCAAAACATGATTGTTGGAGGATAATTTATACATTATTATTTATTTATTTTCTAATGTCAACAAAAAGTGTCTTTGACCATTAAAGGAGGAGGGAGACTAACTTATGTCAGAAAAATAATGGGAAAGACTAATGTGTGTCAGAAAAAGTAAGGGGTCTGACTGAATTTTTACAAATGTAGGGGGTCTCCTTGAAGATTCGACAAACCACGGGAGTCTAACTGAATTAAACCCCCCCTTTTTTTAGGGTAAAGTGCAAAAAACCCCATGAACTATTGACTTTTTGCAAATAACCCCCCTAAATTAAAGATTGCCCCCCTAAACTATTGATTTGTTACAATTAAGGATAAATTCATCACAAAAGACTATTTTACCCTTTCTTTTTAAATTTGTCATTTCTTAGTAAATTATTTTTTATTAAATTTTATCTTATTTAAATATTAATTATACCATTTACCTTAATTTTATAATTAGTATCAATTGATTATAAAAATGAAAAAAATAAATAAATTTGTAACTATCATTTTTTAAAATGATTAACTTATTATAATAAAAATTATTATACTCACTTTAAAAAAAATTAGTATAAAAAAATATCTTCTTTTCAAACAATATTCATGAAAAATCAATAAATTACGTAAATTAAAAATATCTTCTTTTTAATGCAATATATTCATGAAAATTAAGAAATTACCTAAATTATTTCAAAATTTTCTATTTAAGATTTTTATTTAAATAAATTAAAAATTAGAGGCAAACTTATGCAAATTTAATGGAGAATATTTCATCGAATTAGTATGAATTTTTTTTATAATTTATTTCAAGTGTAATCCAATAAGAAAAGGTATTATGGTCATTTAATGAAAAATAGGTAAGACAATGAGGTATTTTGCAACTCAATGTAATAGTTTAGAGGGTTTTATACATGAAACATAATTCATGCGGATTATTTGCAAATTTAGACATAGTTGATGGGAATTTTTTGCACTTCACCCTTTTCTTTTTTATAACAACAATGTTACATATCTTTGTCTCGACAGAGTTTCAAAGAAAGACTTGTTTGTATTTAAGTCACATTAAACGGGAGAGCGAGAGCAAGAGCGAATTCGAGAGCGGGAACGTGAAAGAGGCAAAATTAAGTCATAAGCAGTGAAAATTTGAACGAGAGCGCGCTTGGAGCGTGATAGTGACACCCGTTGAGAAGGATTGTATAACTTAGGTTTGTATCTTAAATACTTGGTTATTTGTGTCACCAATTAATTATATTAAGTCACATGAGTAAAATAATTTATTTTAAGGAGTTCTATCGGCCACATTTAATAAGCTAGTGATACAATATCATCACTACTATCAACTTAATTAAGTTTTTTTCAAGCTTCAACCCATCTCACTAGGACTCCACAAAAAAATTAGATGAAATCAGATCAAATTAGACCAATCGGTTTGATTTTTTTTTTTTTTTTTTTTTTTAACGATTCATTTTTATTCTAATTTTAAAATATACGGAGTATAAAATAGTTTATAAACAGTTTGATTATAGCTTGGATTTTTAAAGGACAAAACCTAACCATTATATAATTATAAATAGATTTATATAATATACATATTGTAATAAAATTAGCCTTTTTGCTACTCAGTTATATTTTATAATATATAATAATATATTTATTTTATACATATTGGATTGAACTACTAAAAAAAAAAAAAAAAAACCCAAAATCTTAGAACTAGACTGAAAGTTCCATTGATTTCACAATTCCTTTCCATTGGGTTTCAAGTTTTATGAAACAGTTGGGACCGAACTGGCTCCAAAATACTTCAAAACAGGTCCAATTCGTGTCTGCTGAATAGCAGCAGCAAGGCAACAGTGATCCCTCTAGTGAGAGAAGCCCTCATTTTGATTAGGCAATGACTTCCCTTCTTGAGAGGAGGCGGCGCCCGGCATGCTGCAGGAGCTGTATGGATCTTATACTTTGGAAGATAAGTAGGAATTACTCCACTGTAATCCAACATGGTTACTCGAGTTCATTTATAATTCTATAATTCTATGTTTCAAAACTCTAAAAGATGATTTTTAGATAAGTAAGCAATAACAGTTTTTAAAATTGTACAACACTTTGGGCGGTTTGTTCATTTTTTTGAAAAAAAAAAAAAAATGAAAATTATTTTCTATAAATTTAGTTTAAAGAAAAAAAAAAAAAAAAAATCTCTCTTTTATGGCTTGATGAAGACAATTTTGTTTTATGAGTTATTGAGAATAATTTTTAAAAAGTTGAACCAAAAAACCCTTTGCTTCCGGCAAAAACAAACATATTCATTATTCCATATTTAAAAGTACAGCAGCTAGAAACTCCAACGTAATGTAACATCATAAGGGAGATTCAAAAAAACTTTAAAGTTCGGATTTAGAAGAGAAAATCAATGGAGGTTGGCAGTAAGATTGCAAATTCCTCGGGCATGTGGGAGCTACGCTATATGGGTGCCAAAGTTAAAAAAAGTTTACAACTGCTCCACTGTGATTAGAGAAGTACAAATAGTGAGCCACATTATCTAGAAAGTTGTAAATCAAACAAAATTTTGAACAATTAGAAAAAAATTCTATTTATCTAGAAAAACAAAAAATTATCATAAGAAAGTTGAACCAAAAGGATCAGGAAAGTCGTAATGGAGGGCTAGTAATTCAAAAAACAATTAAACTTAGACTGAGGAACTTAACAAAATACAAGTGGCAGATCATACAGTTCTCTGTAACATTAATACCTACCTTCTATTAGTAGATTTATCAATTTTAGTGTAACAGTTACACAGTCCATCACGTCAATATCTACAGTATGATCACATAAACACCTCTTAGTCCGTTGCTTTGTCATTGTCAGCTTCTTGGTTTTCTTCCTCCTCCATGGTGGTCTTTTGATTCATCATGAACCTCCAACTGTCCCCCTCTTCTATTTCCCATTGTTTCTTTAGTTCGTAGATAGTTTTCGATGCTGCTGCAGCAATCGTTGGATTGCTATCTTCAGCGAGTCTCTGCACACATAAAGTATATCAATGTTGGCAACTTAGAGAGAGAGAGAGTACCAAGGCTCAATAATGTGAACTTCTATAAGAAATTAATTACCTGCAATGCTCCCATGCCTGCATTTCCAAGAGTCCACATGGACGGGGCTGCTGCTAATGCCTTAGCTAATGCTTTTCTAAACATGGGAATCCAAAAACAAAACCCGAATAGAAATTAAAATAGTAGAAATCAAAAGGATTAAAAACATCTATAAGATTGGAAATCGGTGAGAAAGCTAGAACTCAACCCTTGAATTCTTTGGGGCTTTCATGTCAGTCTTTAGTCACGTTTACCCATTCCCTCCAGAGTTCAGTCCTTACATATTCATAAATTCAAAATAAAATGGACCAATTTTCCATCTGTATTGAACTCAACCAGTAGAATGACTTTCAAAACAAGACAATCGATAATGCTTATGAGAATACAAGTTAGAGCTTTCCAATGGAGAGAGTATGGGCAAAAATGGAGCAGAAAATAGTAAAGGTGCCTAAAATCTGTTTCTCAAATAGTTTACAGAAATTGGAATGGCATAGCAGAATTACTCTTTGGTGAAGCCTACCATATGAGATATAGGAGGGTCCAAATAAAAGTCAAACATTGTGAATTCTTGGATAAACTTAGGATAGAGAGAGTATATATTTTGGGAAGTGCACAATTACAAGAAGCAGGCTGAAGAGCTACTTTTAGAAGGGATTACCTGTTTGTACATGTTCAAGCATTCCATGAAATAAATAATTGAAGCAAATGCTGCAATTGTGTGGTATTATTATAATAAGATAAACAGATTGAAAGCTTACCTAGTATTAACATCAGGAGAACTTGAACACTCGGCCAATAACGATACACTACTTTTACCATCCATTGCATCAAGATCTATAAGCGTGGTAACCAACAACTCGAGCTGATCCAGATGGGAAAGAATATGTAAACATATAAACATCAAAATAATTACATCTAATGAATCCCACAGATTCAAAATATGCATTCCTTCAACTCAGACCTCTTCAGGATCAGTGTAGTCAATTCCATCAGCTTCAGAGAGTGCAGATGCCATACTCCAGTAAGCCTCCTGCATAACACAAACGTAGAGGCATAAATTTCAGAATATTTAATGAAATAAATGAAAAGGGTCAAGTGTTGATAAGAGTGTCAGAAAGGACCTGAATGGCAGTAATGCGACCAGCAGACACTTCTCCTGGAAAGAAATCAAGAGTTTTCCCATTCTTTTCAATCATTATACGCCCAATTGTGCCATTAGCTGAGAGGAAACCCTTTCTCCTGCGCAAAGGACTGGATACCAGTAATACATAAAAAATTAGAATTTTCAGGCCTACGTAATAACAAAAAGTTTTATCTGAAACTTCTCTTTGTTGGAAGATAAGCTTTCACAACAGCAACTTACAACTTGTACAACTTGTTCACCATCATGTCATGGATGTTTTTGACAAACTGTGACACCGTAAAACAAGAAATGAATTCCAAAAGCATAAAAGCAAAAAAAGTGCATAATATATTTGCAAGGGTAGAATTAAGCAAGTTGTCTTTTGCCCCAACTCCCAAGTTTTGTCCTCAATTGTTGAATTACATTTGTTAAAACCTATAATGTGAAATATAGAGTCCAATATAAACTAATCATACCTCCAAAGCCATTAGGGCATCTTCCATCGCACGTTGTTTGGCACAAAAGTCTGCACGTCGCAAGTCAGCCTGAGAATGAGGTAAAAAATGGCTTTCAATTGTATCATATTGCATTTCAACACTCGTAACTGTTAAACTGCCGAACTCCAAGTGAGTGATAAACACAGAGATGAACTTGTGGTAAAAAGAATGACACAAGTTTGAAACAGGATTCAAAGATGTAGCTCAAAGGTTGACATGTCACCTAGCTTATGAACTAAAAAGAGAACAAGAACCATGACATGTCAAACCATAGGACACAAAGGTTGCCATTCTGACTTCATCAACGTCACATTTCTATGCTTGTATTCTGAAAGACTATTTGTTCTTATCTTCACATTGTTCTATTGTACTACGTATGTCATTCCCTCATTGCCCTTCTTACTCCCAAGTTTTCTCTTTCTTCGTTTCCAAAAATATTTATTTTTTTCTTTTACATTGATTCCTTCTTTCTTGGGCTATGTGATAGTCAAAATGCAAAAGCCCTCAACCATGGTGATTGGTAGGCAACCAAAAGAATAGGCACCACGGGTTTCCTGAGCATGTGCATATGTCTCAGGTGGAACTACTTTATTGTCAAGTTTTAAAGCCTTGGAACTTATATTTGCAAGCTATTATTTGACACCTGATACACCAGGAAAGAGTATAACCATAAAAACAAAATCACCTCCAAAGCTCCATCACTCCAGTGCTGGTCTGCGACGCTTTTCAGTCTAGATTGAGCTTTGTCTTTCAAGATCTGATAAGATACAAGATCCATTATAATTTTATAACATTACTCAGACACCGTGATAGAATGATTTTATCTACAAGAAAAGCAACAGTTGAGCATAAAAGACATACAGTAGCAATATGATGAAGACGTTCGGCCTTTTTCTTCACACCATGGTCAATTTTCCCAGTGTCCTCCCTTGCCCGAGCTATCAAGCAAAAAGTTAGTTCAAGGAAGGACTTGAATGAGTTGGAAAATCCCATACGTAAAAAAATAAGAGAGCATTTGGACACCACCCTATCAAATTGTTTTCCCAATACATGATCATCATCAGAAATGAGCAAAAAAATTGAAAAACAACCTCTTACAAAAAATATAAAAATTTACATATACAACAAGATGTACTCATTTTGTATGCACTAAGAACTTTTTCTCTTTTTTAAAAATAAAAAATAAAAGAAAGAAAGCAAGAAAGGTTTTTAACAAAATAAAATCACTAGTTTCAGCACTGTGAAGAACCCTCTCAAATGATTAAATGTTAGCATACTGATATTGTTTGTAACCAATAATAGAATAGCTTGTAGTACAGAAGGTAAAAGTGTATACCATCAAGCTTAAGAAACTCTGACCCAAGAATAGCAACATCTTGACGTACACGAGCATCCAACCTCATTATGCCACTAAAAACAATTGGCAAATCATAAGTAGAATTTCAACAGTGGCAAAACAGCTAAAATGCTCCAAAGAACTTAAATTTAGGCCAACTAAACAGAATTATTGTTGCCAACTTAAGAAATGTTTGAATTTGCACTAATTTCATTAAACATAATTAACCCAAATTTGTCATTTTTATTGACAATATACCAGTATACCACAATTTCATTATCTATATTTGGTGATAAACCCTCAAATTTCAAGAAATTCCTTAGTTTCCATCACAATATAAAGGATAATGAAGATCATAATAGCTCAGCAGGCAAAACATAGAACCGCAGACATGCAACTTCACACCCTTCCACCACCAAAAGCACCCAAAAAAAAATAATAATAAATCAATATGACAGCATGCACTCCTTGTGAAACAGCTCAATAAGGAGATGGAAGAAAATCAATTTTTAATTTGCTAGTGCTAGGAGACTTGATGACATCTTAATGCAAAATTGCAAGTAAGACATTATGGAATACCAAGTATTACCGAGAAAGCAAAACAATGTCATTCTGAACCCTTTCGTTAACGAATTTTGCATCATTGTGAACAAATTTACAAGCCTCAGCTAATCTCTCACTTGAGTGGATGGTTCTCTCAGGCAAGGCCGGATGCTCGTCGTCCACATCTCCACCTTGCAATCTGAAACATATTATGATTTTTTTTTTTTTTTTATATAAGTAAAAGGTAAAGCAAAACCATTAATAAGCTCTAATAGATAATATGTGCCAACTTTGGAAAAAACATGATTTCTAAATTATTTGAAAAATACAAAAGTGCATATCATGGATACAACAAAAAGAAGCTAGAAGACAATATATCAGTGAAAAAGTATCAAAGAGGTATAAATATTGTTTAATTGGTACAAAAGAATGAAATAAGTAAAAATAAATTTAGTGAATGATCTTATTTGAAAGATCACCAATAACGTGAACCTATCTACCAAAAAACAATTAGTTGAGCCTGATCTGCCAAGTAAAAGCATAATGGCATGCGATTTCCAGGGGAAACAAGGAAGGTGTGGTTATTTTTAGGGATACCCATACTCAATTTAATTACTTTTTACTTTGATGTCTTGAAATCCATACCTTGTGCACTATGAAATATAAAAGGACTTTCTAAACTTTTACATAGTTCAAAGCTTCAAGCCTGTCTCTAATTGTGACATAATTCTTGTCATACAGATATATTTAGACCCCTTTCAAGTTAAATAATTATGCCCAAACTAGTAACAATTAGGTAAATGCAACTTTTGCTGAAGTCTACCTTCTCCTGCTTTATTATGATGCTTATATCACCGACCCTTCAAAACTTGCTCAAAAAAGCCATAATCTTCATATTATCACATATGTCACACAATAAAGTTATGGTATACCTAAGAATCTCCAACATATGCTGAAATATTTGAATAATTTAACCTATAGAAGTCCCAAGAATAAAACATGGCTGCGAAGTGGGTATATATATCATTGGCAATTCATATCAAAAACGAAAATTTCCTACCTAATCTATCTTCATAACATGAAAAATAGTAATAAAGACTACATAAACAACAACAGTGTTTAAAAATTACAAGGGTCTTTGCAAGTAGTCATGTTGAGTGTCCGCTAAAATGGAATCAGAGCAGCATTATTACTCAAGTAGCCATACCTAGCTACATCTGAACAATCACCATAATGTGGAATACATTCCTTTGCTTCAGTATTAGGCATCCCTGTTGACCAGCATATGAAAGAGGATCCTCGAGAGATGACATAGTTACCACGTTTTCCATATACGCTGCATAACCCCTTCTCAGGAAAGTTCAACTTCAATGTCAAGAGATGTCCATTGCTTTGTTGTCTAAGCTCAAGTCTATGACTTGTATTATGTAATTCATGTACTGAATTTGCAGATGAATAATTGATTCCATGTATTTTAGTAATAGTTGTCCTATTAGTGACCATAGGACCACTTGAAACCTTGCTTGCGGTAAGTGCCATTGGAAGGATCAAGATTAGATGCAAATAATCTTAGCGAGCTTCTCCCTCACAGAAGCTCAAAGCTGAGATAAATGAAATTATTGAATTAGGAGATAAACTCTACATAAAACCTCATTTAGAAAATCTTGTAAAAAATAACACCACCATTACCACAACCAAATCTTTTACAATTACAATCATGTATCATGAAACACGTGATACTACTGCATTATGGGAATCTTATTCTATCAATGGTCATTATGAAAATACACGTCCAACAAAATAGTGAGGAAATTCCATCTGGGCTACGGCACACATTGTCTCAGTTCGATTACAAATGCAAAGAAACATTTCACATGTCAGGAAGTATCTCGTATCTATATACAGTTGTAATCCAATCTATTGGTGTTTGGCACAAGGGAATCCCCTGACACTTCAGTTTGGCCACTCTCACCACTCTTATCGGTTGAACTGTTAACGAATACCACAACATCTTTAGCAAGACACAAACTAATCAAATAATGGGAAGAAATTAATAGAGTTTCCAATAGTTGCAACACTTCATAAGTTCAGAGTCATACTGTATCCAGACCAGAATTAGTGAGCCAATACTAGTGTACTTTCTAATGCAGCGGATATACTATAGTGTGTTCACAATAAAAACCCTACTACTCATCTCATGAAGTACTATTTCAAATTTTTGGGAGGTTTCCATATTTAAGCATCTTGAATTTATTTGGATGCTTAGACAGTAATACTCCACTCTATGATTTACTTCTGTTTTGCATCCTATTCATCTATAATAACATGATTTTCACAAATGATAAAAAGAAAACTTTAGTAGGAATATCTTTGCATAATTGCTGAATTTATGTTCCTGTAATCGTGGAAATTCAAATTAGATGTATAAAGAAACAAAATCTGAAGAGCAGTGGAATTGTGCCCTGAACCAGAGAATTAGTTGGAAAATACAAAACCTAGAGTGATTATGCCTAGTATAAGCCTAAAACAGTGATTATAACATAATTAGAAAACACCCACAAAAGAAAAGGTAGAGAACAAAAGATGAAATCAGCCAATCTATAAGAACAAAATGGTTGGAAATGACTCAAGAATGAAATAAAATACAGATACCCAGTAATCCACTAAAAGAATGCAGCACTAACCTTTTTAGAGAGAGAGAGAGAGAGAGAGAGAGATTGGAGGGCTGGTGTTAAACGTGTAGAGAGGGAGAAATAGTGAGTGAAGGGCCCATGGCAGATGGAAAACTGGCAAGTAAGTATCGTCCACAAGTTCAGCCTATGGCCCCTCAATTGCCAACAGAACTAAGAATTATTGGGTTTGGATTTTCTGCGACCAGACTTTTTTTTGTACTATGTTAAAACTTAGAAAATGCCATACCTTGGGTTTGCGTTTGAGGGTACGATAGAACTTATTCTAGAATATAATGTTATCAAATAGAATATATTCTATAATATATTTTCATTGTATATATCATTATCATATATATTATTATCTTGAGTATTTGAAAACTCTAACTCACAAGTATTCAACTTTTTTGGGACAGAAAAGTAATTATTTTAACACATTCTCGTTACCTAAGTCACACAATTCTTCTCAACATGTATCGCTCTCACGCTCCGCACGCAATCTCGCTCAAATTCTCACTACTTATGACTTAGTTTTGCCTCTCTCTCGTTCCCATTCTCGAATTCGCTTTCGCTCTTGCTCCCGCTTTATGTAACTTAGCTCATTACCATATATAGCATTATCTTATATAATAATAACTTACTCTTCACACCTGACATCTCCTATTTAAACCCCTATGTATTCTTATATTTCATACATCAATACAATATACAATTGTTCTCTCCCTCATTTCTAGCATGGTATCAAAGTTTTTCGATTTCTGATAAATAATCTGCCAGTATCGTAGTCACCATCGGGATGACACCATTAGCCCCATCCTCAGCAGTGGCTATCAACCTTCAAACTTATGATTCCTCATCCCAACCTTCAATCTCAAATTCATAATCAGCTCTGTCACCGCCTCAACGTGTTGGATCAATTCCGTCACTGCGCCACCATGCGCCTCAAGTGGTAATCCCACTCTTTCATGCGTTTTCACGTGTACCAGCGGTAATCCCACACCTCAACATATCGGATCAGCTCCGTCCCCACGCCACCACATGCCATTAGTGGTCATCATATGCTCACACATGCCTTCAACGTGATGAATCTTCATAAATTCATCATCCATCAGTTTATAGTAGTTACTATCAGGGATGACAACGTCAACTTATTAACATTCCGCACTACTTCCAAGATCTTCACAGATCCACCTTACGTCACCTGACATGTCAACATTGTTGCAACGTCAGACACATTTTGTAACGGTGCCAGTAATTGTGCCACGTAACCCACCACGTCAATTGCCACGCAATAGAGGTTCCAGCAGTAGTGTCAAGTCACCTGCCACTTCAGTTGCCATGTCATCAACCACGTTAGCATCGGGGCCGCGTCAGTTACGTCAATTTGAAAGGATTATCTTCAAACTCAAAATGGCTTCATATAACCCATATAACCCACTTTGACTATGAGAGACTGTTAAAATATATTCTATAATATATTATTACCATGTATGGTTAGAATATATTTTATAATAAAACATTATGATATAATATATTATGATATAACATTATGATATAATATATTTTATAACTGTTATAATATATTATGATATATTATAGAATATATTATAACAATACATGCTAATAATATATTATATAATATATTATAACAGTTTTTTCAAAGTCAAGGTGGGTTATATGAGCCATATTGAGTTTGAAAATAATTCTTTCACCCTGATATAGTTGGTGTGGCACCGGTACTAGCGTGGTTGATGACATGGCAATTGAAGTGGCAAGTGACCTAGCACCTCTGCTGCGTGACAACTGACATGATAGGTGACGGGGCACAACTACTGACACCGTTGCAGAATATGTTTGACATTGCACCAATGTTGACATGTCAGGTGACATAGGGTGAATCTGTGAAGATCTTGAAAGTAAGTGCGCAATGTAAATATGTTGATGTTGTCATACCCGATGATAACTAACTACTGACACCGCTGTCTGACGTTGCACCAATGTCAACATGTCAGCTGATATAGGGTGAATCTGTGAAGATCTTGAAGGTAGGTACGCAACGTAATAGGTTGATGCTGTCATACCCTGATGATAACTACTATAAACTGTTACTAATGAATGATGAATTTGTAAAGATTCACCACGTTCAAAGCACGTTTGAAGGGATCTTAGAATATACTGTATAATATATTATTATTATGTATTGTTAGAATATATTCTATAATATATCATTACCATATATAGTATTACTTTTTATAATAAAAAGCTTTAATTTTGGAAGGGAAAGAAATTAAATTCATTGTTTTAACTATTTTTTTTTTTTTAATTTCAAATTCGAGCCAGCCATTGGATGCTTTCAAACACAGGGATTGTATTACTCTGTTAATGTTCCTTGAAATTGTAACCAAACTATTTTGTCAGGTTTCGATTGGTTTGGCGTTGAGCAATACTACAAAGAATTGCAGAGGAGTGCAACCACGTACACGGATACTGGATAGAGAAAAGGATAGCAAGTGGGCGAGTACCAGTAGTTTACACTTTACCGGGGGTCCCACTGCAATAGGATAGCAACATTTCAAACAACGAAATATATATATGTTTTTCTATTTTTGTTAATGCTTCTATTGCGTTGCTAGTGGTATGGCACTACGTCCTTATTTTAATTTCTCCATTCCAATCACATATAAAACATTAAGTAGGGGTATTTTTAAAATTTTAATAAAATACATAAATAATAATGCAAATAATAAATAAATAAATAAAATCAGAAGGCATCCGCCTTACCCCCCAATTAGTAAGCACTCGTCTTTACTGCGAAACAAAAGTGACTTATTCTAAAATGACAAAAATAATGATTTTTTTGAAGATAGTGTTTATGTTAATATAATTATTGTTTTCTTTTCGAACTTAAAGTCTCACTGCATTATCTATGCCGTAGTCAATCATAGATGATATGCTATATACAAAATATATTACTACTAGTCCAGGCGTTACCAACACCAACAAAATGTTACAGATTGTTCACTGTTACGGTTATATTAATTAGTGGCACACAAATTGCATTCATTTCGTTTAGTCATTTGAGAATAATCTATCGGTGCCCTTACATGCGTTGCACGGTAATGAGCATATCGAAGTTCTCCAGTCTAAGGAAAGATTTTACAGATATTCTCAAATGAAAGATGATTTTGTTTTATTGTTTGTTTGCATTAATAATTTGAAATTGAAGGTTGAGACCTATAATATAATCTTGAGCTTGGTTCTTTGGCTATACGAGAACTAAGTTATTAACAAGCTGAACTCGAACTCGAACAATTCTTCGAATGTCTGATCCATTTACAACCCTTTCAAGCCTCAGAAAAGGTGGGATTTCTACAAAAGAAAAGCGTCATCGAACCAAATAGTTGGAAATTGGAAAAATGACAGAAGCAAGTAGCAGCTCTGCCGATAATAGAGCCGTCCCTTACCTTCATCACCACATTGCGATAAGTGAGAACAAAGCATGCAGTATTCATAAATTTATGGGTATGCATTGATATATATATATACACACACATGCATAGATATACAAATATACAATGGATAACTAGTAACCATTACTCGTGTAGTCAATAAACATCAAATATCCGCAATCACCAATCACCCACAAACGACAGAGATCGCCTAAGAACTTGAGCCTCAAAGTAATGTAACCCAAAGCAAGAGCAACCTGTCAAGATTTTCATATTTCACTACCGAGTACATGCAGGACAACCCGTTAAGAATCAATATGGATGATTTTAACAGAAATGATCCTTATCATACCAATCCACCATCTCTGAATCCCAGTGCCGCGTGCAAACATCAATCCCACAGAAACTGCATTCCCCCATTGTCCAAATTCCTACCCACTTACATCAAATGCTATTAATCACGGACATTTAAGTCCTAATGTATTTCAATCTAATATAAAAGCATCTGATAAGCTGATCAGTCAAGGAATATCATATACAGGCCACACAATGTTATGTAACTCAGTACGTATGAAAGCCTTGATATAGCTAGGAAAATGAACAAAAAAATAAAGATAAATAAAAACCATGTCAAGTGCCTCACATTTCTCAGAAAAAACTTGTTTAATAATATAATAACAGCCTTTGCTACAACACTCTCGGCTCTCCATCTCGACTGACCTGAATAACATGCACAGTTGAATGTCCAACAAATCATTTTCTTTATTTTTTATTTTTTATTTTAAGTATGATACCAACAAACCATGAATCAACTATTCTCAAGCATAAGTAGTTGCGATATGGAACTTCTCCAAAATTTTGTCTTTCCGTGGGCGAACACATTCCCGGGGAAACATTAGAAAAGGGTTAACTTCCCAGTGTTTATAGTACTTCTTGGGCCAGTGGATTGGGTCTGACATAGTGATAACCTACTTCCACTGAGGACTGCATTCCCCTAAATTTGAACAACCATCATTAATGATAATATATCAATCAATAGATTTACAGAAGATGGTAAAAAACAGGAAAAAAAAAGATTTACAGAAGAACATAACTACTAATTACTAAACGGTTAAAATATCTTCAGATGCCGCTGTTCATACCTCATAAAGTGGAATGTCCCTTGGACAAACAACCAAATCCATGAATGGGAGTATAAAGATTAATCCTCTTCAGGGTGTTGGAATTCCAGATCCAATTTCCTCTTTAGATGTGATCTGTCAGCGCTGTAGAAGAAGATCGAAAGTTGGGAACAGAAAATGATCAAATCACTCACTTTATGTAAATATATATATATATATACACACACTCTTGCAGTATGGAGTAGGATCAAGAGTACCAAGGTTTTACCATGTGAGAAAGCTACCAACTAATATTTGTGCTTCAGAATTTATAAAAGGTAAATGATGACCCCCCCTAAAACTCGTGAAATAAAGAGAAAAACTAAGACTAATTTTAGGCACCAGTTCAAGCACAAAAGCTTTGCTAATTTAGAGACACCAGTACTCTCTCTCTCTCTCTCACACACACACGCACAAAACAAAAACAAAACAAATGAATAGATAAAGAGAAATTCTATTTTTAAATTTTTGTACAACTCAACCATGAAGAGCTATGTAGCATTGCACAAAATGAGTACTAGTCTCTGTATGGATAAGAGGTAAGTTGGTTCAAGCAAACTTGGTGAGAGAGAGAGAGAGAGAGAGAGAGAGGAGGGGGGTAATTGGCCAATAATAATGCTTTCATGGAGACTTTTGTCCATTTCTATATTTCATACAATAATGAAACAAGTATCACAAGAATACAGATTTCAAAATATATATATAGTATATAAATAAATAAAAAAGAATCAACAACAAACCAACTAATCAATTAAAAATGGCCTAATCTAGCTGCCTTAGCAGTCAAGTAGTCCAAAGCACATTAAAAGGGTCACTGCAGAATTAAAATGAGAAGAAACTTTAGACATAATTTTCTTATTGAATGGGGAGTCGACTCAAGACCCATAATTCGAAATACCTAAAGGGGTTCCACAAGGATGCCACCCTCTTGGGAACTTTTTTTTTTGATAAGTACCACCCTCTTGGGAACTTTTGTACAAATGGAATCAATAAATTAGTTTAAATCACAAGATTATTGGATCCAGAATGAGATTTCAACAAACATGCTTATTTAGATTTTTGTATAAATTGTATCAATACAGTAGTTTAAATCACAAGCTCATTGGATCAAGAATAAGATTTCAACAACCATACTTAGCAAGCTCGTTATTTTAAGATGTATAATTGCTTAAGTTTGTGATTTTCATGGACAAAATTAGAAAATTTTACAAACAAAAAGAACTAAAGTGAGGGAATTAAATAATTTTTTATAGATTAGGAATGAAATAGAATATATATAATACATTCGCTCCTCTATGCATTTTTATATAAATACTTTTCACATACTATGTTTAATTAAATGATACCATTTCACTAAAAAAAAAAAGAGGAAGGAGAAGAAGATTTCAAAAGCATCTTCATATCTTCTCCCAATACTCACCTTCCAAAAGTATTAAAAATATTGATCAAACTTCTCAAATATTATCTCTACTCCTCTATCAGTGACATCAATGTGAGAAAAGCGACGCCAAAGGAATTTCAAAGAGAGAGAAAACCACCCCCCCACCCATCCCAAACACCCCAGCCAAGGGGGTTTACTTTTTGACTTATTGCCAAAAATACCCCCAAAAAGTCAACCAAGTCAAGGGGTTTTATGCAGTTCGCCCAATTGTATGAATTTAGATAAAAGATTCTGTTTTTTTTCTATCTTGAACAATAATAGTACTAATATTTTCTGTTCCGTGTAGCAACATACTTTTAAAAGCATTAAAAATATATCTAAAAAATCATATTTATCGTCAAAGATGAATTTTAATTACAAAAAGTAATTGAATGGCATACAATAGTATGCTTTTCTCTCATTTTGTTTGGTTGGATAAGAAAAAAGGGGGGAGGAAATGATATTGCAGGATTTAACTATGCAAATATATGTTAACATGCAGTTGAACTCATAACTATGAATTTTACTTTTTTATTTTTATGTTTTTCTTTAATTAAAAGTATGTTGATGCATGTAACAGAAAATATAAGTTCAAAAATTATTATTCAAGAGAGAGATATAAGTTAAAAAATTATTATGAGAGAGAGAGAGAGAGAGAGAACATAATCTTTTAGCTAAATTCACACAATTGGTCGAATTGCAATAAACCCACTCAGGACTTGACTTGGTGGGGGTATTTTAGTAAAAGTACAACACCACCACCCCCTCCCCGGGCAGTTAGTTGTGGTGGTGTTTGGAAAACGTAAGTTCAAATATTATTATTCGAGAGAGAGAGAGAAGAAACGTAATCTTTTAGCTAAATTCACGCAATTAGTCGAATTACAATAAACCCACTCATGACTTGAGTTGGGGGGGATATTTTCGTAAAAGTACAACACCACCACCCCCTCCCCGGGAGGTTAGTTTGTTGGGGGGTGTGGGAAAACAAAATTAAAAGGGGGGTTTACTACATAATGCTACAAGTTAAAGAGGGTGAAATACAATTTACCTGACTTTATATTATACGTCAGAAAAGATTCATATACTCAAACTCGGCATAATACTACTAGAACTGCCACCAAGTATACCCGTGACCAGTATACCAAATGAGTGGCACCACCTCCACAGGTACTGGAAAAAACCACTCTTATAACCTGGATCTAAGTCTCCAAGAAATTTGCCAAAGGCTTCAGAAGAATGCCATTTAACTCCACAACAAAGTCTCCCAATCATGAGACCTGATCAATATTGTGTTCTGATTCGTCTCTCCCACACCCATCTATATCATTCTTCACACATTACACTTTATCCACCAAATACTGTATTAGAAACCTGCAGAAAATGCTCTTTACAATGAGAGCATTGATAGAGAACAGTGGCAGCAGCCTTTTAAAGTCTATAAAAGGCGTGGCAAGGAGGGCTCTAAGGCTCAAGCCTTAGCCTCAGCACCTCAAGGCGCATCAGGCGCACCTGGGATAGTCCCAGGCGAGGCGAGTTGAATAAGGCGCACAACATTTGCGCCTAAGCATAGAGCGCAAGGCGCGCACCTTTCGCGCCTAATTGTAGTCGAACTAAATGAATGTCATTCCTTCAAAAATGAGCTCGCCTAGTTGTGGTCGAACTAAATAATATATTACCTTAATGAATATGATTCTTTCAACCAAATTGTGGTGCAACTAAATTACCATTCCTTCAACCGATCAACTAGCCTAATTGTGGTCGAACTAAATAATATATTACATTAATGAATACCATTCATTCAACCAATCAACTAGCCTAATTGTGGTCAAACTAAATAACATATTCTGTTGATGAATACCATTCCTTCAACCAATCAACTAGCGCTATTGTGGTCCAACTAAATAATATATTATTTTAATGAAATACCATTCCTTCAACCAATCAACTAGCGTAATTGTGCTCCAACTAAGTAATATTAACAACATTTCTTCAACCAATCAAGTAGCCTAATTGTGGTCAAACTAAATAATATATTACCTTAATGAAATACCATTCCTTGAACTAATCAACTAGCCTAATTTTGGTCGAACTAAATAATATTCACCTTAATGAATACCATTCCTTCAACCAATCAACTAGCCTAATTTTGGTTGAACTAAATAATATATTACATTTATAAATACCATTCCTTCAACCAATCAAGTAGCCTAATAGTGGTCAAACTAAATAATATATTACCTTAATGAATACAATTCTTTCAACAGATCAACTAGCCTAATTATTCCCGACTCCCACTCTTGGAAGTTCACTGGTTAGACTGGTCCAACTAAATAATATTAATTCCATTCCTTCAACCGATCAACTAGTCTAATTGTGGTCGAACTAGGTAAATATATTGCCTTAATGAATACCATTCCTTCAATCAATCAACTAGCCCAATTGGTAACTTTGGTGGACTTATTTGCAACATTTGTATGGTATAGGGGTTCAGTGCACTTTACCCTTGAGAAATTTTGCATTTTTTTAAAAAATCTTTAAGTGTATTAGTATTTACTTTTTCTTTTCTTTCTTTCTTTTCTTTTTCTTCTTTTTCTTTTTTTTTTTTTTTTTTTTTTTTTTTTTTTCAGGTAAGTACTCACACACACACATACACGTTGCCCACGACTAAATCTTAACGAATACCATTCCTTCAACCAATCAACTAGCCTAATTTTGGTTGTACTAAATAATATATTACATTAATAAATACCATTCCTTCAACCAATCAAGTAGCCTAATAGTGATCGAACTAAAAAATATATTACCTTAATGAATACGATTCTTTCAACAGATCAACTAGCCTAATTATTCCTGACTCTCACTCGTGGAAGTTCACTGGTCAGTCTGGTCCAACTAAATAATATTAATTCCATTCCTTCAACCGATCAACTATTCTAATTGTGGTCGAACTAGATAAATATATTTGCCTTAATGAATAACATTCCTTCAATCAATCAACTAGCCCAATTGGTAACTTTGGTGGACTTATTTGCAACGTTTGTATAGTATAGGGGTTCAGTGCACTTTGCCTTTTAGAAATTTTGCATTTTTAAAAAAAATCTTTAAGTGTATTAGTATTTTTTTTTTTTTTTTTTTTCAGGTAAGCACTCACACACACACACACACGTTGCCCACACGCGCCGGGGCTTGAACCCCTCCCCTCCTCTTTGAAGTGTATTAGTATCTTATGTGATACTGAGACAATCAAATTGTTTGGAACATGTTTTATTGAGTAGTTTTGATAGTTTTGCATCTTTTAATGTATTAGTAGTCATTATATTGAAAGAAGAAAAACAATTAGTAAGCATTTCACCTTGCCAACAACTTAAAACGAATAAAAAATTATCATCTATCTTAAATCGTGCATATAAATTGAAACAAATTCATTAAAAGATGTCAAAATGCAAATTTTTACAAATATGAGGTTAAAACATGCATATCAATACTACTTCGGAGAGTTGTGCAACATGAACAAAAGATTACTGCTAATCATTGAGACTATTACGAAACATATCCGTTTTACCCTCTGTTTGCATCACTGCAGCTATGATTCCAACCTTAGTCCTAATAGGAGCAGAGTGGCCTCTAATTTATCTTCACAATCTCTCCACTTCAATATAGTTTAAATTATAAAAATACGAGATTCGGTGATCTGTTATGCAACCTAACCTTAAGTTCTAAGGAATTTTATATGAGATCCTCGAGTAAAATGTCATTAGAAAGCATCAGAAGACAGGATGCAACCAAAGTGGTGCACCAGGAGTATAAACCAGAAGCCAAAGCCAAAGCCAATCAAACAGAAATATCTATCCAAACCCTCAACTTGACTGCTACACATATGAATTGCTCAATTCTTCACCCTTTATAAAATGGGGAAACAATCAAAATCTGTGCAATATAGCCTGTTCAACTTTAGAACTTGTTATTCAAGAGCTTAAATTCAATATTCAAGTCTAACTAAGATTTCATCTAAATAATAATAATAACAAGAAAGAAAAGAAGTCAAGAATGATTGTGAAATTCTACAAGAGGTAAAAGATCTACGTACTACCTATAGAGTCAATAAATTAAAATGTTATAGCTTTACCTGTTAATTGTTGGTCTAGGTGGAGGTCTCGATCCAAATATAGAAAGATCTACTGACATAGGTACAAGTTCACTCTTCTCACCAACTGCTTGTCTGTTTTCATTTGCATGATAGTCAATCTTATCAACTTGGTGCTCATTTCCTTCGAATCCCTCGCGATGTGGCATTACCCTCCTGGACTTTCTTGGAGGAGACAATACGGTAGGACCTTCTTGTTTATTGAAATCTGAAATTCTAGAATTGGACGACTCTTTTTTGGGGGGAGGTCTAGGGAGCAAAGCTGATTCTGTTGGCGGAGGAACAGATGAGAAGTACCTAATGACAAAAACAAAGATTAAACCTCACAACTGTAAAAGTATCCAATTGAAATGTCAAATTTAAATACCTGTGCTCTAATGCCTGCTGCACTGAAATTCTAGCTTTTGGGTCATACGTGAACATCTTTGATAACAGATCTAAAGCATCATCACTAGCCATGGGAAACAATGTGCGAAGAGACTGCCCAGCAACACACTGGTATTCAACATAATCAGGAAGGTAAATCATATCAGGCCACTGAGAGGGCTTTGGAGTCCCAAAAGCCCCAAAGATCTTTCCCAATTGGTCAATGTCACTATTACCCTGAAAAACAATTAAAATGAATTCGGAAGGTATATGTCAAACAAAGAAAATAGCACTAATATCACAAATGAATTAGACTGGGAATGTCATTGAAATCAGATAGTAGTCAGGGACAGATGTACAAATAACATAAACATTTGCTCGCATATTTAACATAGTACATAATTCTATAATCAGAACATTAAGGGAGAATAACATTCCGAAAAAGAAAAAAAAAAACATTAAGGGAGAATTTAAAAAAAAATTAAGGGAGAATGGAGAACCATAATTTAATGGTTCCAAATTAAAGTTCAAATTTTCAAACCCTTAATGCATTAGAATATTGTTGCGCATTAAAAGAAGATTTTTCCTGAGAGAGATTGGTGAGACACTGAGCAAGAGTAAAAATGGTGAAGAAAATGCCAATAAAACAAATTCGATTTAGTCCAGTAGAATAACATGTAAGGTTTGCGATGGGCAATCAGCAGTGGCCAGGTTCTGGATTGATCATTGATAGAGTGAGGACTATAATGTCCTGATTACTGAAATTTTTGTTAAAGTTAATTAGTAGGAGTTATGGTTTAAGGTTCACTTAAACTAATTTACATGTTAATTTGTGATGACAAAAGTGAATTTAGGAATTTGATTAATCTAACTAGATGGGTTAAACAAGAAAATTTTAGGAATATCGTTGTGTGTTAGTGCAACCCAATTAACATATTTGGACTAGCACAACTCTTTAAGATTTGAGATTAAATTTTAATGATGAAATAATTGTGAGTAGAAAAAAAAAAAAAGAAAAAAAAAAGGAATTTTTGGAATATAAAGAAATAAAAAAAGTTAATTAGTGGTGTTTAAGTATGAAATTTAGAAAATGGAGGAATTTAATTATATAGGAAAGAAATGTCAATGGGAGTGAAAAGTGTAAAACATAGAAACTAGTGGACTTAAAATAAATAAAGAAAATAGGTTAGTGGTGGAGGAAAACATAAATATAGGAAGTAGATTGCTAAAAAAAAATATATACAAGAGATTAAATCATGAGAGACATGTGTCAACCCCATGTGTATTGATTACAAAATATATGGATTACAAATACACACAGACACATGTTTATATGTATGGAGTCTTCCAAAGACTAAAGAAATATATATCATATTACAATATAACACTTACAAGATTCCTGAAGAAGCTTTTCTTTAAAGGCCTCGGCGGTGCACAATATATATTTACATATATAGTATAACACGAAGAACAGGGAAAGGAGAACATAAAGCTTTGCATGGCAGGAGGGGGAGAGGGAGAGAGAGAGAGATTGCTTCCATGAGAACATACATACACACACAGCACCTAAGAAAGAGAAGAAAGTGAAAAAGAAAAAGAATGGAAATCTTACCTACCTCAGCAGGACCATGTAACAGGTAGGGATTTCACTAGCTATATCAACTCTTGATATGTTTCATGCATTCATATATGTTAAATTCATTAAATCATGCTCACTCATGAAACCCTAGACTTCATGTTGTGATTATGTGGAATTGAAACATGAACTGTGTGTAATGTGTACACATGTATTATTTGGATGTATATATTTGAATGAGATTATGTGCATTGGGAAGTAAGGGGATTAAACCCATGGTAAGATGGGGGAATTTCTAGGTTGGAAAATGTGATTTTGTATAATGCCTCTAAAAGTGTTTGAATTGAATGAATGCTTGTGACATATGGTAACTTCTTGTGACAAAATTAATTCTCTACCATGATGAACGTACTTGGAAGACGAATGGATTATTCCAAGTGCTGTGAAATGGAAATGATAATATGTATTATGTGAGTGTTATATGGTGTGGTGGTTTTTGTGACCCATAAAGCAAGTAGGGAGCCCAAGGGTGTAAGATCCAAACCTTGGCTAAGTGGTACTTGTGTCCATAGGGTTAGTAGCCCGTAATGCGAGGGAAATGGTGGGACTTGTGTCCATGGGAAAATTTGGATGCACACATCCACGATGTTGTGACAGGTGTCATTATTGTGATCCTATGTTATGATGTAAGTTTTGGTTTTGCTAAGTGTGATATAAATTATGTCGAACTATTGATATTTTTGCATGAAATGATTTGTCACATAATTTAAGGAATAAAGCTTGTGAAAAAGTTCATTTCAAGGAATGCATACACGTTACACTCGCACATACCAAAATGTCATGATCAGTATGGTTAGTGTTATTTCAAGTGGGCATGTGTAGCTCACCCCTTACTCTTGCAGATAATGAAGGCAGAGCTTGACTCCCAATGAAACTTTTGACTTTAGATAGTTATATTGTAGCTCACCCCTTACTCTTGCAGATTTCATCACAGGACTAATATGGAATGTTGCATAGTATGTGGTTGGAGAGAAATTTGATTTTTAACAGGAATGATCTACAGAGTGAATGAGTTGACTGAAAGTACTGTTCACTCAACAACACTGGATCAACTTTTGAAGACCTTAGCTGACTTGTTTTAAATTCAAATTGGGTAAATTTTGTGTCCAAATTGAAGCCCTTCAAGTCCACTTGCATCTAAAATTAGTTTCATTTCAAAATATTTTGAAGTGTGAGGTGGTCAAGAAGGGGTCCTTAGGAAAGAATGTCTGTGTGGAACATTTAATTCATTTCCTTCCTCTTTTTCCCATTCACACACTGGGTTCGCAATCTGGAGCATGACACATACCTTCTCAAGTCTTTTCAGATTTGCAGTTGATTACAAAATATGGTGGCAGATTGTCCCAGATTCACTTTGAGCGGGATCATATGGGATGTTCACTTCCGTATGTCACTGCAGATCTGGGAGTTGGGGGATATTGAGGATTCCTTCTCTTTTTTTTTTCTTTTTTTTTTTGATAATTGGGATATTGAGGTTTCCTGCACTTGTTATATGCTCAGGTATTTGTGGAGGCAGAGGAAGATGCGTTAAGGTGGGTATTTGGAGATGGATGACGCTGAAGAGAAGTACCTTCAAGGCGAAAACATTTTGTAGTGTGTTTTGGGGATATGGCCATATTTGGTTCGCCTGGTAGGCGATGTGATACTGCACCTGCTCGTCCTAAGTAGGGATGATAATAAGGTGGATCTGGGATGGGGCACCCCCTCCCCCAACCCCAACCCTAATAGGGAAAATATTTTCCATACCCCTCCCAGGTATGAGACGGGATCCCATCCCCATTTGTAACTGGGGTTAGAATATATGTCACCACCCGTCCTGCCCCGTTTGACAAAACCCCTATTTCTGATTATCTGCACTGAAAACATATGTATAAATGAAACGAGTATATGCTTGTATACATATATAAATAAATCAATACATCTACTTATATGGATCGAAAGATAAAAGGGTGTATTGAAGGTTGTGGATCTGATAAAAATCAATTGAAAAACAAGCAAGAGATGCTGACAGTAGATTCACACAAAGATCCATCAGTTTTGGTCACAGCATCTGAAGGCATATTGAAACCCTAAGAATAGAAACTCCAGCTTGGTTTGTAAGCCAAAGAGGAATCACTGCCGGGTTTTTTGGACAAATTCATAGCAATCAAGGTCGTGAGGGACAGAGAGGTGACTCGTTAAGGGTTCAAGGGAGGGGAGTGAGAAGGGACAGTACAAGTGAGGCAGCCATTTTTGTGAGGAAGGAGAACCAAAGGGGTGAGAAGAGGGGTTTGGGATATTGGCATAAGCAGCTTTGATAATTGGTATTAGGGTTAGACAAGTTATAGATAAGGGTAGATTTGTACATGCAATTCATTTATACATATTTGTATGCCTGGGTGGTGCAAGATCAAGTAAAACCGAAACCCGCCCTGAACATACATTGGGTTTAAAACTATTTTTCCATACCCATCCCAAACACTATAAAATATGTTCAGTTCAGGAGGCATTTTCAGGATTGGGAGATCGAGGATGTTTCTCGTTTTCTGGAGCTGTTGTATAGCCAGGTGATTTCTTTTGGGGAATCGGATTGGTGGTTCTGGATTCCTAACTCGCAAGGCCGTTTTGAGGTTAGGTCCTTTTTCAGATGCCTTTCGGTTGGTCATGGAGATCCCTTCCCTTGGAAGTCTATTTGGCGGTCCAAGGCTCCCCGCAAGGTCGCCTTTTTTGCTTGGACCTCTGTCCTGGGTAAGATTTTAACCCAGGATAATCTGAGAAGGAGGAATCAGGTAGTGGTCAATCACTGTTACACGTGTTTGTGTAATGAGGAGTCTGTTGATCACCTCCTTTTACATTGCAGCATGGCCAGAGATTGTTGGGATTTGATGCTTAGATTATTTGGGGTCCATTGAGCCATACCTTATTCCTCTAGAGGGTTGATTGAGGCTTGGAGAGGCGTCTCTGTTGGGGCGGGCATTAAGGACGTTTGGAGGGCTATGCCGCTTTGTATCTCGTGGTGTATTTGGCTTGAGAGAAATAGGAGATATTTTGACAGAAAAAAGAAGACTGTTTCTATGCTTAAGTTCTCCGTTATTTCTACTCTTTTTTGTTGGGTTTCAGGAAGAGATTATAGATCTATGGAGGAAATTATTGTTTTCTTGGCCTCTCTGAAGGTCTAAGGCGCCCTTTGGCCCTTTTGTTTTCTTTTGGTTCTTTGGGCTTCGTTCCCCTTTTGAGAGTTTTTAATAAAATCTTACTTATCAAAAAAAAAAAAAAAAATAGGGGCATGGCAAGAACCAGTGGGAGTAGGTAATAGTACCATACCTACTTGTAAGCAGACTTTTGGTTGGATAGTAATTAATTCTTAGGAAGATTCTCACCGTTAACAACCTTCTCAAGAGAACTAATTATAGTCAATTGGTGATGAAGGTGCAAATAGGATGAAGAAACAGTTAGCGAAAGATGTGCTTGTGAGTTGGAGATGCTCTATGTGGGAAACCGAACCAGGCTATATGGCAGGCTACTCCCTTATGTATATGGTGGATTATCTAGGATCAGAGAAAAGAAAGAACTTGAAGGGGCAGAAATGTTCAGTCTGTCTCTGAGGGACACACTAGTGAGCCCTCTTTTTGTCTTTTCTCTCCTCTTTTTTTCTATTTTTTTTATTTTTTATTATTGGGAATTCTTCCTTTTTCGTTTGCTCTTATATATTTTCCAAGGAGAATGATTGTACAGTTGTATACTCTCAAAGTGTATACATCGTGTATGTACATGCCTACACAGGTGCAACAAAGTAATGCTCCCAATGAAATTTTACTTTAAAAAAAAAAATTGTAAGTAGGCTTAGCTACTGTGCTCTAGCTCCACTGAAACTTGACTAGAATTAAATTATACAATAGCCTCAGTATTTTAAGTATAATGAGCCAAGCATGCCACCATTGGGCCACTAGCCCATCTGGTACCTCCCTCAAAGGGGAGGTGATGGGTTCGAGCCCCATAGTGGACATTTGTGGGGTGTGAGAGTATTTGCCTAACCGAAAAAACAATATTTCTAAAAAAATGAGTCAATCATGCCATAATGACATTCCTAGCTATAAAAACCCATACCATTCAACATCGAATCCAAAAACACCAGATTGAAGCTCATTGTACAATATTTACTATTTAATAATGTTAAGAAAAATAAGATTGAAGAGAGAAATTGAACATGAATAACATAAGAATATATAGTGGTTCAGCCACTACAGCCTACATCCACGGCACACAAAGCCCAAAGGATCTCTTTCATTATATTCTCTCTTAATTTTGTTTACAATGATCATCTCTATTTACAGGTGAAAGAATACAAACATGCGATAAATATAAAATATATAGAGATGGAGGATCCCTAAAATCAATCCCATGAATCACTCCAATCAATGTTCTATCAAAAGGCCTAAATCACTGCTATAATCATATTATCTAACAGGTAACAAATAATATATATATTTTTGGTAACTTATCATTACAGGATCCATTTTATATTGCAACACAATTATGTGTACACTTCAGATGACTACTCATAGGAGATTTGCAGGAAATTCAATATTGCCAAAGGATGCCTGACTCTGAAGACATGCATCCATAAATGCTCTGTTGCACAATAAAGAATCAAAATCATAGAGAATACATCGTGGAATAAATCTATTATAGAATCAAGATAATCTAGGTTTTTGATGACATAATTTCATCAATTCAATCGGTTTAAGAATGTATACAAAAAGGGGAAATTAACGACACATTAAGAAGATATAGTAAAAGCCAATGTTGGCTGAATTCTGGTACTTGTATCAGGTGCACGTATGTGTCTGAGTGTGACACATCTGAAAGTGCAAATTTAGGATAAGGGGACTTGGCTTGAAATGTGTCCAAAAACTTGGATAAGGGTACGTGGAGACATTTTGTATACTTAAAAACATAATGCGCTACTTAAAAATGTAATGTGTCATACTATTATTTTTTCATATACTCAATAATCATTTAATTAAAAGAAATTAAATGGAATATGCTTAAAAGAATATAGATTCCACCTATCTCATAAGTAGGGAACTCTTCTTCAATACCAAATTTGAATAATTTTTCTTCGTCCATCATCATAGTTTGAGGATCTAGGTGTCCGATTTGGGTACGTGTGTTGGAGGGAGACAGGAGAGTCCTAGTAACATGGGTAAAAAGCATCCAAATCGATATCTCAAACAAAATCCTTCATTTGGCTAAAAGCAAAGAAAATTACTACCTTTGCCAATTGGACACTTTAAACAATAGATCACTTACCCTACCTAATGCCAACAAAATTAATGTAAGAGGAAATCAATGTTTAACAAAAAAATATTATTAGGAAAGAAAAATAATTGAAACACGAGCTGATTCGCTACTTTCTTCAAGTGCATGATGAAGAATGAACATAATTAAGTCAAACAATTCTTATAACTAATATTCAAAAGCAAAGTTGCATGCTTAGTAAAAGATCTTCTAGTTTATGTTTAGGTCTAAAGGATGCCAAGGAAATTCTCAGCCAAAGAAAGTATTGGGTAATCAAGAAAGGCAGGAATGATAAATCATCACAGCACAATGATCATTAAATGGAAACTATGACACAGAATCTAGCATATACACAAGTAATGATGATCATAAAAATGAAGTCAAGATGATCCAAGGCACCAGCCAATTTTCCAAAAATCAGAATACATGATAAGTCAAAAGAATCAATAACCAAGATATTATAACTTTACCTGCAGAAAGGGACGCCGTAGGAGAAGTTCAGCAAAAATACAAGCAGCAGCCCAAACATCCACCCCAGGACCATATTGCTTGGCCCCAAACAACAGCTCAGGTGCTCTATACCATCTAGCAAAGACCTATTCAAGAGTAATTAGAACTTCGGCTAAGTAGTACTTCTTGTACTAAGATAAACTGTGACAAAATTCTCCAATTTTCTAGTCTAGAGTAAATGTCAAACATTTTACCTAGCCTCTTCGTCAAACAAAGGTTATCCAATGACTGATGTGTGAATAAGACCAAAAAAAAATAGCGTCAAGATCAGATATTAGGATAGAGCTTCAAACACAAACAGAATTCTCAATTTTAAAAAAGGGACAAGGTTCAGGGTTCCAAATCATATCAGAATGAAACATATAGGCACCAGCCACCAAGTGTTCCTCCTGGAGACTATAGTTTCATTCTTATGTTTGAGGCTTGGAGACGGTGTATAGTGGAGGCACAAGCCCATGATGTTTGGATGGTGGCACCCTAGTGCTTATGGCAGGGCTTGTGGAGGGAGAGTAATACGAGATCCTTTGATGGAGAGGAGACTCCTATTGGGATGCTTAAGTTCTATATTATTCGCTCTTTATTTTTTTGGATTCTTGGTAACTCCATATAGGGGAAGTAGTGGATTTTGGATTTTGTGGATATGCTGAGAATATAAGGGCCCTATTTGGTACTTGCATTTTGGTTTTTGGGCTCCTTGGTTGAGTATGCTTTCAATGATACATTACTATAAGAAAAACGTTTCTTGGCCATGAAAAACTCTCCATGTATTACCGCATCTCAAATAAGTAGAAGCAACAAAAGATTCCCCAATCCAAAATTACAAAATTGCTAATATATTCACAAACAAAAAGCTCAATATGATTGTTCAACAACATCGATCATCAAATATACTTCTCAACTGCAGAAAATCACTGCAGGCTAAAGAACTAAGAATGGCTATGAAAGACCCAATTTATCATAAAATCAAATTTGAAAGAAAAAGTATACCTGGTGAGTGAACCTTCGATCTGGGCTCCCAAATATACGTGCTAAACCAAAGTCTGCAAGTTTAAGCTGTCCATTGGATCCTATTAACAAGTTGTTCGGTTTCATATCCCTGTTAAATAAATAAATAAATAAAAATATAAAGGAAAAAAAAAAAAACATTTACTAAAAATCCCAACAAGGATTTCAAAGATTGACTTCTCAGCACAACATATATACCTATGCAAGACCCATTTCTTGTGGCAAAAAGCAAGTCCTTTTAATGTCATCTGAAGGTATGACTTTATATCAGCTGGTGAAAGAACGATATTTCTATCACGAATAACAGCCTCCAGATCAGTCTCCATGAACTCAAATACAAGATGTAAGTTCCCCTTATGAGGGAAGGCATCAATCAATTCAATTATATTTGGATCCTTGAGCTCTTTCAGCAATTTAATTTCTCTGAGAGCAGTGAAATTCACCCCTTCCTTCTGCTTTCCAAGACGAATTTTCTTGATTGCAACTGTCTGTCCAGTCTACACATTTTGGATACTAAATTATCAATCAAAAAAAAAAAAAAATCTATTATCATTGATACTATAAAAGTTTACGAAAATTTTGAAACTCAACAACTGAAGTCCCAAAATCCAACAATCAAGTAGAAATAAAAGAACCCATTCACAACAGTTCACAGTAAGAGTAAGGCTGTTCACCAATTCGATATAAATACGGATTGACAACTTTCTATAGAACAGAAAAAAGTTTTTATCAACTTCGGAAGCCCTACAAGTCTACTACAACTTCAGAAACCCTAGAACATATACGGAAGAGAAAATATACATACCTTGGTATCAATGGCTTTGTATACGACTCCATAGGTACCTTCGCCGAGGACTTCGCGCTTTAGGTAGCGATCCGCGACTTTCTTGGTCAGTAAATGATTGCGGAGAGCTTCGGACATTGTTGTCGTTGATGTATGTATCAAAGTTATTTCGGATGGGTTCGATTTCACGATCAACTCATATTTACAGTTCAAATATGCCAGGACCGGACCGGACCGGACCGTACCGACCAAAACCTCCTTCCTCGAGCTTATGATTTGGGTGGAAATTTTTTATCTGTTTGCGGAAACTAGGGCTAGGGTTGGAAAGGGAATAGCTTCTGTTCTTAAGCGGTGATCTTGTCTAGGTCGTCTTTTTTCAGTCTGATTGATCAATTACAAAGCCAACAAAAATTTGCTATCCTATTCACCATCCAGTTTTTGGATTTGGTCATGTCTGGGAATAGGTAAACAAGGGTTAGAAGTTAGAACAAATGTTTGGGTAGGTTTTGATCTTGGTTATTTTATATATATATATATATATATATATATGGGATATTTTGATCTTGCTTACTTTTTATATCTGAAACTAATTTTGCTTCGAATTGTAACCAGCTATTCTGGCAGGTTTCGATTGGTTGACATTGAGTAATACAAAGAACTGTAAATTAGGGTTTCAGAGGAGCGAGAGAGAGAATAGGATAGCAAGTGGGCGAGTAACGCTCCAATGGGATAGCAAAACGAAATTTTTTTTCATTTTCTTTCATTTTTTTGCATTTCCCACACTCAATTTGCGTTTAGTAACGTTTTGTTTTGTTTTTTATTTTTGAGTTTTAAGAAAGTAAGAATCAAAAATAAAATTAATATTTATTAACACTTATTATTATCACAATTTTAAAATAAAAATAATAATACTATTTAATTCGAAGTAATACATATTTATTACAAAAATACATAATATTTTTAATTAATTTATAATATTTTCAATACTTTTTATTAATATCAAAAAGTCTTAAATATGTATGTAATTTAATTATCTCAAAAATATTAAAAATAAATGATAAAATATAACACCCAATTTAAAATCACAAATTTTAATAATATCCAATACATATGTACAAAATAAGATACATTCAAACAAAAACACTTTCACCAATTATGTATATAAGTGCATGCATATGCATCATCTACACATTTATTATATAATATATAATATATTTAACAGCCAGTATATTACAACAAATAAAAAATGTTAAATAATATATTTATAATATAATATAGATGTGGTATATAATAATATATTATATTTGTTACATAATAATTTAATAATATTATACAAAATAAATTATAATTTTTTTTGTCCCAAAATTTAATTTACACTCTTATATACTGTAATACCCCTAATTTTAAAAGGATAGTCTCGGTATTTATTTATTTATTTTTATTGTATTTTTTTTAATTGTTTAATTGATTATTTGACTAATTGTTTATGTGTTTAATTGAATTAAGTGTTACTTGGTTAATTGGCTACTTATCTATGTGTTATTTGTATTTTGTCTAGGTATTATTTGTATTATTTGTTTAATTAGATTGTACACTTAAATGATGTATTTGATTAATTGTAATTAATTATAAATTAAATGATTAAATGTTTTATTTTATTTTATTTTATTTTATGGTTATGATTAGTGGTAATGGACTAACTAATTGGGTCCCACGGACTACGTGAATAGGAGGTTGGATGGGTATGGATAATTACCCATGGATAGTTGTATATGTATATATATAGATATATATGTATATACATATATATAAAAAGGAAAGTAATTTATTAATATTATAGTAACTTTAGTATTAATAAATAATCTGATGTATATATTTTATATATTTATATAATAAGGATATACATATATTTTATACGTAACATGTTTTAAGTTACCTTTTTAATATTATGGTAACTTTAGTATAAATAAATAATCTGATGTATATATTTTATTTATTTAATAAGGATACAGATAGATTATATACGTAACATGTTTTAAGTTACTTTTTAATATTATAGTAACTTTAGTATAAGTAAATAATCTGATGTATATATTTTATTTATTTAATGAGGATATAGATAGATTATATACGTAACATGTTTTAAGTTACCTTTTAGTATTATGGTAACTTTAGTATTAATAAATAATCTAATGTATATATTTTATTTAATTAATAAGGATATACATAAATTATATACGTAACATATTTTAAGTTACCTTTTTAATATTTTTATTTTTTATTTTTCTTTATTAAGTTGACTTGGATTGGGAAAAGGAATAGGGTTATTATTTAGCCTATAAATACACAACTATAGGTTGAAAAATGAGTGAAAATATATCACGTAATATATTCTATAGAGAAAGAGTTAGAGAGAGAATGAGAAAGAAGAAGGAATGAGGAGAAAACCCTGTAGAGAGAAGATCAAGGAAGAAGAAGTTTAACTTTCGATTCGAAAGTTTAAGGCAAGTTCTTCTTCTATCTCTTTCCCTTTGATTTATGTTTCTGTACATGCCTAGGAAATTCCAGAATTTATTAAACACATAAAATTAAATAATTATGCATGTTTAATTGGGTTAGAACATAGGTTTTATGAAATTGGTTTATATCTATTCTTGTGTTATGAATTGATAAAATGCATGATTTTGATTTGATTTCTTATGTGAATTTTTACATGTTTAAATTATGTATTTTTCATATCTGTGGAATGATGGAACATAGAAATATACCTAGGATTCCTGAACATTAAATAGGGACTAGGTTTGGGTTTTCATAAATTTGAATAGACTCAATCATAATGATGCTTGCTATTTGAATGTTTTAAACAAACGAATGGATTTAATCTTTTAAAATATTTTAGCAATTGAGATTAAATGTGTAGGATGAATTGGATATAGAGAATCATTATTTAACGGTATAATAAAATATCATTATGTATAAGATTCAGTTTGTGTAGGACATATGATATAGGAAGTTTAAATAAATAATAAGTCATTCCTATTATGTGATAACTTGATATCATATTTATCATAGTTATTTATGGAATGTTTGATGTATTTCCTTAATTGTTACATCAATTGTTGGATTGTGTGGTTTAATGCACCGGTATGGGACGGTGGCATTCTAGGGATGGATTAACTTATCAGTTAAGTCCTACCTATTTTATATAAGGGAATTGATTAACTAAAATGTTAAGTCCTACTTATATTTAAGTCAGGTCAGCTGAACAAGTTGAATGACTTATGGAGGATTAATTTATTATATAAGGGAATGGATTAACTAAAATGTTAAGTCCTACTTATATTCAAGTCAGGTCAGCTGAACAAGTTGAATGACTTATGGAGGATTAATCTATACTGGATAGGATGGTTACTAGATTTTATATATATAAATATGGTGCCATGATATGAGCTTGAGTCTCAGGATCAATGGTTAGGGCGCGTATATCGCCAGGGATGTGTAGCTAGATATAGTGTAGTTGTGTACCCTGGTAGGTCTAGGTACTCATGCCCACTATATGTGCGTTTTGCATGTTGCCTACTATTCAAGTTGAGACAACCCTATAGTCTAGTGAGGTTCCTTTAGTGTGTATATATATATATACGGACTATTAGTTACTGTTGGATTGACTAGGATGTATACGTGTATCGGATCTCTGCTTGGACTGTAGTAGAGTAGAACTTGTTTGTGGGCCTGACCCACCATTATTTTTCAGGTGTTCGTCACGAGTAGAGGTTGTTCGTGCTGAGCGGGGATCAGTCTACTTCATTCTTCCAATGCTACATAGGAGTTCCTTTATGATTCAGTTTCCTGTTTTAGATTACTGTCATTTGTTTAGTTCGGATTTTCTAGGGGTCCACACAGTATGGATTCCCGAGTTGTTTTTTGGAGGATCATTTATATCAGAAGAGTTTATTAATTAATGGAAATATATTATGAGGTTTATTATTAGATTATCATTTTCTTTTTTGTCAGCATTTTATTTATTCTTCTTTATTCTTTTATACTCTGTGTTCGTTTATTATCAATTTGTTTTGATATCCTCGGGTATTCGGGCGTGGGCCTGGCCAACCCGCATTCGGAAATTCGGGGGTATCACAGTTGGTATCAGAGCACTCCAGGTTCAAGTGTCCTTAGGAGTGTCTTTCATTATGTGACTTCCGCGTTGCGTCTCTTAAAACTTAGAGCCCATATTAGGATTCGTTGTACTTTATTTACGGTTTGTTAGGAGGAGCTGATGTTAATTATATTCTGTAGTCATAGAATGGTTGGCACTAGAAAAAGGATGGGTTCAAGGTGAAAGCAATAAAGACCCAAAGGAGTAGAGGAGTATGTTATCGATTTAGTTGCCAGAAAGCAGAGTTAAGGATTGACGGTCTAGGTTCGTTTGGCGTTACTTTAAAAGTATAAGTCAAGGAAGGATTTAGGTGTACGTGATAGGTCACCGCATATCGGGACCAACACGACTTCAGTTGATTTCAAAAAGGAGACAAGCAAGGAGTAGGAGCCGAAGAGGATCCTAATGGAGGAGATTTATGTGTATCCAATAGAGAGGGTACTAAATCTTGAAGAGGGATGATTGCGCGAGGTAATCTGAATTGCTAGTAGTATATCGAATATTATTAGTAGAATTGGGGTTGATCAATCTACAAATAATTAAATCTTTCTTATCATCTCTAAAAGAGGTATATAAGAAGTATTGTTCAAAAGTTTGGGGATCGGATGTGTTCTTATCAGAACGAAATACATAATTTTTAAATCACATACAAAAAGGCATTGGTATTATGTTGTGACGTTCTAATTCGATTTATAAAGTCAAGTAAGACAGTTTACATTCCGCATATAAGGAGGATGAAGGTTAAGCTCTTGGTATTTGTTTAGGAAAACATTTGTGCTTTTAAGCGATGTTTTAAAGGATATGTTTCGAGGTTGGATAATTATTTACGAAACTATTAAAGGAAATTTTGAAATAATCTAGTAATGTTGATTTCAAATGAGACTTTCTTTTCTAGAAAGAACGATGTCCTAAATAGGAGTATATTTTGTTTTATTGTGTTTATCATACGTGTTTTTTATTTTTATTTTTTGTTAATTACTCGGGATTTGGTATGTGGTTTAGTTGGGGACACAAGTGTGTGATCAGCCAACTATTAATTTAATAACATAACATGGAGTAATAGCGCTATTTACGCTAGATTTGTGAGCGTACGGTCGTAGGATTTGGTAGATACACATAAATCTAGTCAATCTATTGGACCTGGACATGTGTCATTATGGTGTGTTTTGGGATGTGATAATTAAACCATCACTACGAGTCAAACAATCTAGAACGATTAATTTGATATACTTTACGTTATGTATGGATTCGTATCATATTACAACGCCATGATATTGGTGATTGTTAATGTTTCGGTATACTTGAGGTAGTGGTAAATAAAGATCACTAAAACGCCATGATGATATATCAGAGGTGCTGAATTTGCTAAACATCTTCTTGAAAATTTCAGAAGTTGTTACCAAGTCAGAAGGAGGATTTAGTACTGGATTAAGTACTTATTAGAATGACACCGAGTGAGGATAGGAGACTGAATAAATATTCATCAGTCTATTCTTAATCAAGAATTTTATTCGTGAGGGCGTGTCATTAGGAGGAGTTGCCGGTGTTGCGTATAGAGGAGGAAACTAAGTCTTATTCACTTGCATAAATAATATGAAATTTTTTTTTTTTTAGGTCACA